CAGTTTACAATTCCCATTCTGTTAACCCTAGGAATAATGAACCAAAAATGAATATATTCTTTAAAATTCTTAGGAGGGAAATAGTAGTGGAGAATTTTACATACTAGTTCTAATTTCTCTCCATGGAATTTATGTTGGATATTTTTAACGAATCCATCGTGTGAGCACAGAGTGATAATGCACAACCAGTACCTCCCTTTCAATTTTGAAACCTACTTCCCACACAGTTGTGGGTTTTTTCCCAATAAAAGTATTTAGTTTGGAACATGAATTTTTATTCTGTTGATAAAACAATAATACAAACAATTACACCGATAAGAAGGTTGCTCAGACCAATATACCATTCTTTTTCCCTTTCACACAAGTGTATAAATGGCAGGTCATACTTCCTTCCATCAGTGCTGGTAGTTTTGGTGTACCAAAAAATTACTTTTGGTTCTTTCTTACTTTCCATTAGTAATGATGTATTGGATTTACATGATTAGGTTTTGGTGGAGGAGGGGGCAACAAGTGATGGCTTCTGTGAAAGCTGCCAGAAGCTTGCCCTATGTCTAATGGAGCCAATGCCAGCCAGCTCCAAGACTGAGCCATCAGCAACGGCAGTAAGGCCTCAGGGCTAACACAGTTAAGAGGGGAAAAAAGTTATGGTGCAGGACCAATTTCAGCAAGTGGAGAGAGAAGTGAGAATATGTGAGAGCAACAGCTCTGCAGACACCAAGGTCAGTGCAGAAGGAGGAGTAGGAGGCGCTCCAAGTGCCAGAGCAGAGGTTCCCCTGCAGGCCATGGAGGTCCATGCTGTACCAGCTATCGACCTGCAGCCTATGAAGGACCCCACATTTGAACGGGTGGATGCCCAAAGGAGGCTGTGACCCTGTGGAAAGCCCACACCGGAGCAGGCTCCTGGCAGGGACCTGTGGACGCATGGAGAGAAGAGCCCATGCTGGAGCAGGTTTGCTGGCAGGATTAGTGACCCCATGGGGAACCCACACTGGAGCAATCTGTTCCTGAAGGACTGCATCCCATGGGAAGAGACCCATGCTAGAACAGTTCATGAAGAACTGTAGCCTGTGGGAAGGACTCGTGTTGGAGAAGTTCATGGAGAACAGGAATGACAGAGAGGCTTTGGTGGACACTCAGTGTCCAGCCAAGGTGTGCCCACCACAACTGTAAAGCAATGTGTTTATCTACCTATATACATGCACTGTGTTCTACAAATCTCTCCTAACATTGCACAGTGACATGTTCATAGTTCAGGATCCTTTTTGAGTGCCATTGTTCAAAAGCTTCACAGGTTTAAATTACCTCATGTTATGTCTGCCAGTAGAGGGAGCCAATTTTATTCCATAAACATAAGGGAAAACCAGATGTTTTTTAACAGGAACACTCCTGGTCGTTTTACATTTTTCAAGTCAGAAATTAATAAAACCCAATAGTCTTTCAGTGACATCTGTATAGCATGATTTCGAAGGTCTCTGTGATCCATATAGCCCTATAAAGTAACCTGAATTTGCAGAAGAGAGTAGGAATGAATTTGAAAGCCAGATTCCTCATACATTTCTTACCCTTTTTTCAATAATTCATTTCTTCATTTATTCAATAATTTTATACAGCAATAAACAGCTGTGCTAATCACTTTTGATAGACAGCACACACAAAACAAGAACTCCAATTAAAGCAGCTTACTTTGTCACATTCAAAGTTATTATGATTGTAGCAGATCTGCTTTTAGATCCAGAAAGATGATGAAAAATCACTTGTTCTTAATTTTTTATGCCAGTTTTAGATTTTGATCAGCAAAGATCAGCAGAATGCCTTAGGTTAGGATCAAATGTGCCTCCTTTCATACCACCTGATTGAAAAAAAGACCTTTTTGAACTGCCCATTTATAATATAACTGAGTTAATCAAAATATTTTTCATGCAAAAGCAAGTAAGAATACTTAATAGCAGATTGCATTATATTATATATATTTTAAAAAAACCCAAATATTTCTTAAATTTGCAATGTAAAAGTTAAGGAAAATTTTAGTCGCTATTTTGATGAATCACTAGTTTTAAATGTTCTTTTGTAAGTCTGGATTTTGAGGAAAGGATCTTAAAAATGCGACAGAAAAAGTAAAAACATAACTCACTAAAATGAGATGTGTTGAGGAAAAAAAAAAAAGAAAAAAGGAAATTCCTGTGTTAGTTTACTAGTACACCTCTATACCCAGTACCGGTATAGGGGTTGTTACAAACAGCAGAGTTTCAGCATTATCATCAATAAGCTTCCTGACATACAGGATTGAATGCAGTTTTGGCTTTTCCTGAAATAGTATGTCCACTAATACTACAAGAGTGGCAAATTTTAGTTAAAAAACATGCAGAGACCTAATTAATTCTTTGCAATCCCAAGTACAGCTAGACCCCCTAGTCTGCTGAGGCTGCATTCCTGAATAATGCAGCAGTAAGCAATTCAATCAACAATAAAGCAATTTTTCTTGTAACAACTATTCTGAAAGAGAAAGCAAAAATACTTACACACTAATATTGGTGTTGGGTGGTTGGTCTCGTAGATGAGGCAGCTGAGATCTTTCAGAATGGAAATCTGTTCAGAAAAGTTAGCTGCTAGAAAGTCAGCACCTTGTCTGGCTGAAGTACTGGTGATGCCATGGCTCCCACGGGAAGCTCCAGGATCCAAATAAAAAATTAAGGTAAAATCCTTAACTTGTGTGGGATACTGCCAAATGTCTCAAAGAAAAAATAGTAAATGAACAATATCTAAACCTTTTTTATACAAGATGGTTATTAATTTGTTTTCCTTCATAAATAAACATTAGTGATTTAAAGCTAAAGGAAATCCACAGGGAAAAAAAAAAGTTAATTTAAACTTATTAGTTTACATTTACTTATTAGTAATAAATAATCATATCACTAACACATACTAAAACAAAATATTTTTACCTTTGCATTTATTCTTTCTACTTCATCAGGTTCATGTTCATCCATGGTAAGATCTGCATAAACGTAAAACCAAAATTCATTACTTGGGTGTTCAGACCTCAAGAACCATTTAATAAATACTCTGCAAGAAGCAATACTGTGAAGTTACCCATATCCAGTTCCTGAACTAGTATAAAACTTCTTTCCAGGAAGAATGTACCTTTCAGTGCTTTCAGTTGTGGACTGAAGCACACATATAAGCCTCCTATTTCTATAAGAGCTGACAAATCCACATCTAAAATAGCCACGGAAGGTTTTGAATACAGAACTCACACATAGTCTGTCCCATCAGAAACAGCACACTTATAACTCTGCTGGTTTTGGCTAGGGTAGAGTTAATTTTCTTCCCCAAGGCTACTATGGGGCTGTGTTTTGGATTTATGCTGAACACAGAGTTGGTAATGTACAGATGTCTTTTGTTTTTGCTGAGCAGTGCTTACACAGAGCCAAGGCCTTTTCTGCTTTTTGTACTGCCACACTGGTGAGGAGACTGAGGGTGCAGAGGAAGTCAGGAGAAAACACAGCCGGGATAGGTGACCCCAGCTGACCAAAGGGATATTCCACACCATAGGACATCATGGTCAGTACATCAGTGGGGGAAAGAAGAGGGGTATTGGGAGTGATGGCGTTTGTCTTCTTAAGTATTCGTTACACGCGATGCGGCCCTGCTCTCCTGGGGATGGCTGCCTACCCATGGGAAGCAGTGAATTAATTCCTTGTTTTGCTTTGCCTCTGTGTGTGTCTTTTGCTTTGCCTAATAAACTGTCTTTAACTCTTTAACTGTTTTTTGGGGGGTGGTTTGTTTGTTTGGGGTCGGTTTGGGGGGGGGGGTTTGTTTGGTTTGGTTTTTTGCAATGTGTGGAAGTTCACATGGTGAAGCTTCATTGGGTAACCTCAGTGCTGTTCTTTGAATGTTGGTACTTAGAGATGTTGGGTGAGGAACCAAAGGGCAGGTGACAGCAGAGAAAGAAACAACCACAGACGACAGAAAACTGACCTCTGCAGACCAGCTGAAGGGTTCGCTGTTATGAAGCTAGTTGGTATTTTTGAGGAGGAGGATAGGAATAATTTATCGAAAATAAACAGACCTGGAATTAAATTCTACAGCGTAACGCACAGAGCACTGATCGAGGGATTAATGGGGACGACATCCGGACCTCAGCAGCTTGATGCGGCCGAGAAGGTGGATGCGGACAAGCCTGGCCTGGAAGCAGCAGTAACGCAAAGCAGAAGGCGGGCAAGAGGGATTCTGGAGCGTCTTCCAAGGAATTTGCAGAAATAGCGAGGAGGTATCACAATCTTGCCGCAGACGCACTGGGCTCAGTGCAGCTACGGTCGCCCGAGCGAAAGAAGGCTCAGCTCTAGGCACTCTGCCGCAGTGCCGGGAAGCCCAGCAGGACCACAGGAAAGGGAAGGGAAGGCGGGTGACTCCATAGGGAACCGTGCGGCACGGCGGCCCGTCCTGCCCGGCCGTACGAGAAAGACCCTGGGTCGGCGGCCGCAGCACGGCGAGAGCCACGGTCCCGTAACGCGGGGGCGCGGCCGGGGAGGCGGGGACGCGCCGGCCCCCGGGAGGCTGCCCCCGCCCCTTACAGGCGGGAGCGCGCGTGCGCACCAGGGTGCGCCACGAGGATGCGCCCGCGGCCAGGCCCGGCCCCGCGGCGGCTCTGACGGACGTGTGAAGTCCGCCCTCTCCCCTCATCTCCCCTTCCCGGGGTAGGGATGGGTGGGTGGATGGGTTAGTGTTCGTCCGTCCGTCCGTCCTCGGCGGGGACGGGAGTGCTCCCGCCGGGGCTGCCCGCCCTGTGCTCTGGCGGGCTGGGAGCTGTGTCCCACTGCCAGGTGGGTTTGGCGGCGGCGTTTGGGCCTCCAGCCCCAGGGGCGCCTCGGAGAGAAGTGTCAAAGCCCCTCGGGCCCTTCTTCGCACGGCCTGGCTTGTGCCAAACGGGGGCAGCGGCGCCTCCCGCGCTGCCGCCGCCTCCTCCCCGCTGGCAGCTCTGTTCCTCATCGCCCTGGGGGTCTCGGTCTGCGTGGCTTTAGTCAGGGATTTGGCGGAAGACCTCATCATGATAGAGCCAGGCTCTTTTCGGTAGTGCTAAGCAATAGGACAAGAGGCAACGAGCAGAAACTGATGCATGGGATGTTCCACCTGAGCACGAGGAGGAACTTCTTTACTGTGCAGGTGACTGTGCACTGGAACAGGTTGCCCAGAGAGGCTGTGGAGTCTCCCTCACTGGAGATGTTCGAGAACTGTCTGCAGGCAATTCTGTGCAATGTCCTCTAGGACGCCCCTGCTTGACCCACTGTGGTCCCTTCCAACCTGACCCATCCTGTGATCATCCATGAGGAGCCACTATCAAAAGGCCAGATCCTCTCTTCCTCCTTTTGCAAAGCTCTACTGCTTATTCATGAATGTTATTCTTGCATAATAATAATTCAAATAGAAAGATCTTGCTCATGCAAACATTCTTTCAGGCACTTGTGGATCCCACACTCCAAGACCCTATTAATGTAGATAACTATATTATCTAAAATACTTCACAGTTATGCTTCAGGAACCAAACTCTTTATTGTAGAACTTTGGCGCTCCAGAGTCACTAAAACCTGAAAATCCTTTGCCCACAACTAAAAGTGTAGTAGATGATTATATTTTCATCAGGTATGCATATCTTGCATATTTCTCTTTAGAATACTTTTAATGAAAAGAAAGTTAGTCCTATGTTTTGTTTCTTTCATGAGTAACACTAACATTGCACCTGGAAGTCTCTCATACTTTGTAAGTAAACAGTTATGTGATAAGGCTTTCCAAAGGGTCATAGTGTAATTATTCTTATAGGTGTTTGGTGGGGGGGGGTTAGAGCAATTAAGGCTGTGAAGCATTTCTTTTTGGGCTTAGATTGAGGAATACCCACACTCATCTGGGCTGTCACCTTTTGTTCCTCTCTGTACTGCCACAGCTGTTTTTGTACCACTGTGTTGAACGTGACTGGGAATTGATCTGTCTTCTGTCAATAAGAGGATGGGTTTCCATCTGCATGAGTTCTCTGATGAAGTTCATGTTAAAATGTCTGCAATGAGCAGTTCTGAGGACACAGAGTGGGGACTTTGGAAGGGGGCAAACAGCTGGGTGATCTCTATGCTGGCATAAGTGGCTCTCCTGTCAAATGTGAAACTTGGCCATAGTTCTACAGGTTGTGTATGTGTCTGCCCCCCTTTTTTTTCCCCTTCTCCTGAAGCTGTGATTTCCTAACCAAGATGAATGCATATTTACAGATGTGCCTAATTACCTTTCTGCTTAGAGCAGTCCTTGGTTTACTTGAGCTGGAAGAGGATTTATATTATGGGAAATATGACGTTTGGATTGAAAAAAAGACATTTTGCCCAAAGTATTTCTAAATGGTAGAAGTATAGAATTACAATTTTTTTTGTTTAGGCAGGAAGTGTGTTCTAAGGACTGTGTTTGTAGCAGTACTCATGTAATTCAGGTACTGGCTCCAACAACTGTGTGTTGCTGTGCCACTCACTTCCCTGTTTATTCACTGGCCTCTTGTAACCAGAGCAACTGCAATAATTGCTGGTGTGCTGGCATACTGTGGTAAAACAGCAGTCAGTTGTGGCTTGAGAGAAGGCATGTTGAAGTGGCTATTCATTTTCATTGCTTCTTTTTTCTCCTTAGGTAATTCTAGAAGCTATGGATATACTCTTCAGGATAAGAGGAGGCTTGGATCTTGCATTTCAGCTAGCAACTACTGATGGTGTGTCTATTAGACTAATAGATTTCTTAATATTTATATAAACTTTTATTAATAAACTAGTTAAGATATTTATTTTGTTTGCATTTCACCAGCTGTTAAGTGCTTCTTCCAAAACCTGTAACAATTAAGTACGCAAAATGTTATTCTTTGTCTCCGTAAATTTTCTGGCAATCTTTTTCCATCATGTTTTTTATTTTCAGCTTGACTGCAAAGTTGACCCTGAAATTCAAAGCAGACAGAGAATAATTAAACAACAATGAATTTGGTTATAACAAGATTGTATTAATACAGTTTTGGGACTGTGGTCCAGTCTTCCTAGAGAAATAGAGAAGGGGAATAAGTCAACTAGTCAGCCTACTGAATTTAGGTGGGATTGGCTACGGCAATTCCCACCTAATAACAAGGGACCAGTCCATATGGTGTTAAGGGGCTCCTCTAGTCCCACACTGTTACAGTAATGTGACATCCTCTTCAGAAAGTCAGCTCAAAGCTATCAGCGACCTATTGAGCTGTCATATGGTGAGCTGCCATGTGGAAGGAGGTTGTCTTTAGTTCAAATGCCACTCATTCTGCATTTTAAAAGACAAGTCTGCTAGAGACACTGAATTCCATGTTAGTGAACCTTGAAAAGGAATTTGGGCTTATTTGAGGTCATGATGTGCAGTGGAAGTGTGGAATAGATTGGCCTTATGCAAAGCAACATTTTGTGAGTTGCATCCTCAAAGAAGGGCTATTTATTTGGCTTAGTTTACAGTGTAGTGAACTTTAACTGCAGTGAAGCAGAGTGGTATTTGAATTGTCCAGATGCATGGTATTCACAGCTCTTAGTGTGTAAATATGACACACCATTCCCTTTGAAGGCAGTACGTTTTTCTTTTGGAGCAGTTTTCCTTTGACTTTTCTAATACTGTAATTTTTAACATACTTCTAGTGCAAAAGTTATCTAATACTTACCAAACTGAAGTTAAAGGATTAAAGATATACAGTATAGTCTTTGGTGACTTGTTAGGCTTTTTTAACTTTTTGTATTCTAAGCAAAGGTCTTTAACCTCCTCAGTGAAGAAAAAATGTGGGTAATGTGCAAAAGTTGCTCTGTCATGTGCAGTATTGGTTCAGGTTGTAAGGTGTGGATAAAACTTAAATAGTCAAGTCAAGCTCTGAAAGCCAACTGTCTATACCAGTAATAAAGTTTAAGGCAGATCAGGGTTACAGTTGCAGGTTTATTTTGGCCAGAACTTGGTCTTCAGTTGGAATGTAGGCTCTGCTTTTCCAAACATTTAGTCTGTTTGTATTTCTGAACAATGATATGAAGTCAGAAACATGTGACTCAGGTTGAATCTTTCCGGGATTTAGTTAAAAGTTTGTCTGTACGTAGAAGTTTGTTTGCAACTGTAGGCTTGGTTAAGAATTATAGATGTGAGAATTGACTGCAGAATAGGTTATTCTTCTGTAATTCATTCAGCTCTTCGTATTTGACATCTGAGAGAAAAGAGAACTTTTGTTCAGGGAGGTATGAGTATGACCTGCTAAGTGAAATCTCACATCAGTTTTTGTTTACCTAGTCATTTTCCTCATCCTAACAGCATTTAGGGTTTTATTCCAAGTTAAAATTTTTTTTTTAATGTATACCCAGCAGCTATAAAAAAAAGAGCAAGGGAATTTTCTAGTCTAATTGTATCCTTATTGTGTTTCAGAGGCATCAACAAAAAAGGCATTAGGATATGTTTTCAGTGATCTTGCAAACAAATTGTCCTCAGAGGTTCTTGTATTAAGAATTTGCCACAGTTCAGTGTATGTGTGGCCTAACAATGGTATGACCACAGTTCCAGATCTGACTGATGAGTCTGCATGTAAGGAGATAACACGATTTATCCAGTGAGTATATTAAGAATTGGGGGGAATAGCAGATTAACTTCTTATTATAGTAATTTCTCTTTCTGTTGATACTTCAGATTTGATCAAGATGACGAGACCAAACGAAAGCCTGGCAAAAAGAAGGATAAGAAGTTACAAGATATGGTATGTCTCTCACCCCAGTAAAAAATTATGTGAGACAATTTATCATTTAAACATTTTCAGACTTTCCCTCCCTGGGCTATTTTGTGCACAAGTAGACATTAACATGAGTTAAAAGAATCATTTTAAAGTCATTGAGACTCAATGTGAGTGCAGAGGTCCACCTATGGTAGATCAGCACGTAGAAGTTTGATGTTTCTAACTTTTTTTTAACCCAGATATTTCATTACTGAGTTCAGTATCAAATATCTACAATCTTTCTTTTGCCTACTTGATGCATGTGTAGTTGCAGATGTCCTATTGGTGTCTTTATTCTCTGCAGCAGCAGATAGTCAATGTAGACCTCATGTTGGAAATGACATCTTCTTTAGCTGCTTTGGCTCCAATCATTGAAAGGGAAAATAAGGAACACCACTACATAAATATGACATTACCAGTTGATGTTGTTGTATCTGTTTCTCCAGAAGAAACGTGGGGAAAGTAAGTGTTATCCTGAACTTGTAATTTTTCAGCTTCATTTCTGCTTTTTCTTGAAGTAATGAAGTGAAAGTATTTCACTCATCATTTTAATGAAAAGTATATAGTATTTTTAGAGTGGAATTTTAACTGTGTAAATAATAAAAGCTCATGTAGACAGCTGTTACCTTTAATAATCTTGAGAACAATCCTTTTGCTGCCTGCAAAAAATTGAGTTCATCAATGCTGATAGATTTGATAACTCATAACTATTACTTAGCAATGAGAAAGGCAGGGAAATGTTCTAAAAATTCTTGTAAGTGTGTGAGGTGTATAAAAGTGAGAGTTGGGGTTTATTTGATGAGTCTTTCTAATCTCAGCCATACACTAGGGACTGCAGCTGGGTGGGTGCAGATGGAAAACGTTTGAAGCTGCCTCTGTATTTTTTCCTTGTATTTTTCCCATAGGATTTGACTCTGAACAATACTAAATGGGGTGGATAAAATGGAAAAAAAAAAAAAAATCCCAAACCAAACCAACCAAACAAAAAAACCCCCATGTAGTCATATATGTAATTTTTATTTTGGCAAATGCTCATAATGGTTGTATTTCTGATAAAAAACAGCATACCTGCACTTTGGAGGATTGAATCACTAGGGACTGGTTTCTGTGTGCAGACATGCCTTGACTAAAGCATGGTGAGGCTCTGCCTTTGCCTGTGGGAGCAGAAGCAGGAAAGTAGTACATTCATCTGACCAGGTGCAGATATGCATATAAGTATTGCATAACTGCCAGAGCTATGAGAGAAAATGATCCACCATCGCTGCTCTGCTTTTTTAATATTCTCCCTTGGACTTTGCAGGGTACAAAATCTCCTGGTGAAAGCAATTCATGGGCAATTAGATGACATGGAAAGATGTATCATGAAATACGTGAAAGGAACATCAATTGTGGTACCAGAACAATTTCATTTCATGTTACCAGGAAAAAATCATCTTGTAACAATCTCATACCCTACAGGTATTTCAGATGATCAACTGGAAAGTTACAGAAAGGTGAAGCCAACAGTTTTATTTTTATTTTTAATTGTTGTAATTGAAGCAGTGGTAAAGCTTTTCATTTAGTCAATGCAGAATAAATACTAACAGATAACGTTATTTTTTTTAAATTTATTTTTATTGTAACCAAAGCAGCATACTGAATGTGGAAGCTTGATTTATTAGAAGTTATTTTATAAAATATGTGCCAGATCTCATTTTGGTAAGAGAACAATAAAAACTTTAAAAGTACATAAAATTTGGTTTAGATAGATTTTATCTATCCAGTACAGTATTCTTTGAATTTCTTCACTTCCATGATAGAATATCAGATTATGTGTAGCGTTTTTCTACATTCAGGCTTTAACACATGTCCTGAAAGGGTTAATGCTGGGAGGATTTGTTTGTTTTGGTTTCTTTCTTGGGGTTTTGTGGGGGTTTTGTCTGTTTGTTTGGAGGGGGCTGCTTTTTGTGGCTTACAGCTGACCAGGCTTAGCTAGCTTTTGGTTTGTTTTTGCCTTCTGGGTTGGCACATCTTGAAAAAGGAGGATGAGGTGGAAGAATGTTGTGATGGGGCAGAACCTTCAGACTGAGACTGAGTTCAACCAGGTCACACATACTGAGAGCAGGGAAAGAATATTCTGCCAGTTTAGAGATGTAGAAGCTGTGGTGATTTTTCATTTTCTTCTGTGTGAAGCATTCCTAGGTCTATAAAACCTAATCTAGCCTTGCATTTGCAGAGGCCTCAGGCACTGGTGGCACACTGTCTTTCCTGCTCTCTGTCTGCTGTTCACTCTTACCCACTGATGGAAAGTGTTACCTCTGCCTAAAATGTATTACCTGTGTTACACACATTATCCTAGATGATCTCATCATTCCTTTCACTTTTAAGCTCTGTGAAATAAGACAGTATATCTCTTTAAATGTGGCTGCTGTGTTATAAACAGGGCTTAAGAGATTTAAAAATAGACTGAATCTGCTTGAGCCATAAGCTCAGTATCTTTAGTTTGTCTCAATACAAGGTATTTGTGTGTCTTCAGTATCAGTTAAGATTATAATTCAGTGTGTGTATCTATCTACACTACTACATAGATAAAACTGTAATTCTTTTCCGTGATGTATTTTATCATACTTCCATAACAAACTTGTTACTCATGGTGTCTTCAGTGGGGCTCCAGTGGCAGGCATTATGTAACAGGACTACATAAAACAGTGGGCCCTTTAGACAGGAGGTAAGCCTGCATGAGCTTCCCTTGAGACGTGAGATCTAGTAGTAAACATACATGCTGAATGTTTAGTTAAGCATATTTTAATAATTTGCTAAGCTACGCTGTTAAAATTATATATGTCTTTGTTGCTACTTACAATTTGATCTTTCTTGTAATCCAAAATTTGAATTGTGCTCTTTATTTTTATTCAAACTTGCATGTAGGAATTGCATGGGTTATACAATCTGCCTTGTGACAGACCATATTTCAAGAGAGCAAATGCTTATCATTTTCCAGATGAACCATATAAAGATGGATATCTCAGAAATCCACACTTACATCTTAATTCTCCTGGTATGGAGCCTGGTATGGTAAGTTTAAGTTGAACATTTGTGAGAAAGTACTTTTTATTTTACTTGAGTTTGTTATTAAAAGCAGTAACTTAGATCGTCAGTGTTGTGTAGATGAGAAAGTGAAATAATTGGCCCAGCCTTTTAAATCAAAGGGCTTCTCTGCGCAAAATGGCATTGCTTTAGTTTGCTATATTTGTCCCAAAGAAATTGGATTTTCTTGGAAAAGGATGTACACATTTTTAGCATGTACTTTAAAAGTTTCTTAGAACCAGGACAAGAAACTGAAACCATGAACAGAGATGTTTACGAGACAAAACCAGGAGGAGTAATCATGTGTGAATAATGGCCCTTTGATTCTTCCAAAGATTTGCAGTCCTCAGCTGAAAACTTTTACAGTGCAAGTGACAGGTCATATGACTTCTCTGAAAACTGATGCAAGTGTGATCAGATTCTTTTGTGTTATCTCTTTCTGTGCAGGTTTACTTAGTACATGGTGTGTATAGTTATCACCACTATATGCAGGATCGGACTGATGACAGTGGTTGGGGCTGTGCCTATAGGTCTTTGCAGACAATCTGCTCTTGGTTCAAGCACCAAGGTTACATTGATAGACCTATACCAACACACAAGGAAATTCAACAGGTATAGACCATTTAAGGAGATTCATTATTTTATGCATATTTGTCTAGAAATATTTGCGTAGATTATTTTTTAAAGATCCAATCCATATATTTTGATTTGTATGATATTTTTAATTTATCCCTTAAATTGAACTAGTGGTTCTGAGTTACTGTTTTTAACGAGTTTTATTATAGGAGATCTGTCTGCAAATGTTTATCACTGTTGAATGACATTATCTGTACAAATAAGACTCCTTAAAATAGTCTTTTAAATGTTTCCTTGGATTATTGTTCTTTTAGAAGCTGAGATTATGACATTTTCAGTGTTTTTGCCAAATGAAAAGAGAACGAAGAACCCAGTGTGTCATACTAAAATCAGTTTTAAAACTGACTTTTGTATTCAGTGACAGTTGGATTAGTCCCCAGATGCTATGCATGAATTTACTGACGCCTTTTGCAAATTTGCCTTTGAGAGCAGTATGCTTTTCCTGGTTTTTGAACTCTTCTTTTTCTATTTGGAATTCAACTACATACCTGAATGTGTTCATTTCTCTTAAGAGCACTGAAGAAAAACTGTAGACTTGGGTAACTAATACTGTGTGCCTATCCAGAAATACTGCATTTATCTTCCATCTTCTAAAAATGGTTCTTTGTGTTCTATTAGTTAACTGAACATCTTTAGCAAAGTTTAATCCAGTTCATAAAACAACTTTCATCCTACCTAGCAAGGATGTGAACACTAAAGGTAAAACTGCATTTCCTGAACATTGCTCAGACCAGATCTAAAGCTAAAAGCTCCTAAAGTCTCTGCACTCCTGTAATATTTTTAGGCACCTAGAAGAGAGCAGTAGCCTGCAGGAGACTTTGTGAGCTTTGTATCCTGAGCAGAAAAGGACCCTCTCAAGTGCTGCGTGTAGCATATAAGCCTCAGAACAGAGAAGAGTTTAAAATAAACCACAACTTTTGGTGTATTTCAGTGGCCTCTTTCTCAGAGCACTATTTTATGGATCCTTTTCTGAGATGCTTTGAATAGGAATCCAAGCCCTTCAGTCTATGAAGTGGCTTCTGCAGTGTCCAAGTGATGCATTATTAGGCAGCTCAGTGCTCACCATCCCAGCTTGAAGTCTGCCTGTGGACCTGGGTTTGTAGTCTGTGCTTATGGACACTGTTCTGTGTTACTGCTTAAAGGGACATTTCCAAAACAGAACCCCAGTGAATGTATTTGATACTTATTTTCTGCTTTTGACTGGCTAGGTTCAAGACACATTTCCATAAATATAAACCAACTTTATTCACAAAAATGTGGTGGAATTCCCTACTATATGTTGTTGCTCTTTGTTTTTCTTCTTCATCATGATGCTGCAAAGGCACTGGTTGATGCTGGAGACAAGCCTGCAGCATTTGTTGGATCACGGCAATGGATTGGTTCAATTGAGGTACAGCTTGTTCTGAATCAGCTTTTTGGAATAACATCTAAAATATTATTTGTCAGGTAAGAATCATTAACTGTTTAGTAGCTCAGTAATTGTTAAAAAGACTGAATGCCATAAAAAGCAAATTATGATTACAGTGGTTGGGAGAACAGGAATAATTAAAGAGATAAATCCTTTAAGGGTTCTTTGTTCATAAGCTTTATATTCTCCCTTCATTTTTTGCTAAATGCTTGCAGATGAAGGTGGTGTTAAATTTCTTGCAGGCTTGGGGTTTCAGTTTCCAGTTGCTATAAATTGCTTAAGGGTATGCCAACTGCCCAGTTTCATAAAGCTACAAATGTGGCTCCCATTGGGTGTGCTTAATCCTATAAATTGCCTAATGATATGCAAACTGATATGGAACTCAGCCTATTTCTTTGCATCACATTTTTGAAGCAGACAAAGAGTCTGGTAGCCACAGAGAACTGAATGCACACTGATAAATTATTGCTGTGTCCACAGAGCTAACTCCTGAGGGTTGAGGTGAATTGCTGAGCAGCCTGGAAATAATGTTGTCTTTTTTGGGTTTGTGTGACAAATAAAACAAGGAATTTGTTTTCATTCTGACAATCTGATCATCTTATAGACAATGAAGGACCCTACAAAGATATTTTTGGACAAAAAGAATAATGTTCAGCATTTATCAGAAGTAAAATTACCAGATTTTTATCACAGAGGCAACACCAAGCAGACTAACAAATCCCTGAACATGTTGTGATAAATAAGAGTCATGAAATAAAGAACATATACTAACATAGTGCATATGAAAATTCAAGTCAAAATACTACTCATGTATTTAGAGTAAATTCCACTGTAAATATTCTAAATAAGCATGGTGATGGGGATTCTTAATCTTAGGAAAATAGCTCAGTTCTTAAATATCTTAATCTTTGTTTCTGTTCCAGAGCTTGTATTTGCAGATGATCCAGCTATTATTTGATAGCTGTGACAGACCCTGCCATTAGGAAGATTTTTATTCCTGTATATAAGAATATAGGATAAATTCTTTTGTGAACTGAGTAGAATTGCCTATAGTGCTGCCACAAGGGAACACCAGTTTGTTTTCAGGATTATGAAAAACCAACATCAATACCATGCTGGGAAGAAGAAAATGTCATGCATCTTTTTTAGCTGGTCACTGGCAGTGGATGACATTTTTGTTTTGGGTTTATTTCACATAGCACCTCTAACCTTTAATGGAAAAAAGACTTCACAGCTGCACCAGCAGCACTGGTACTGGGTCCTGGATCCACCATCATAAATGCACCATTTCCCAGAGTTCCAGTTTTGTATTCTATCTGCATTTAATCCATCTCTCCAGGAACTCGGGAAGTATGCGTGCAGGCTTTCTTTGGGTTTTAAAAAAGTTAACCACTCTATGAAGAACTATAATGACAAGATATTAAATATATCTGTATTAATTTCCTTGCCTAGCTTTTGTCACCACTTTTGGGAGTACTGTTAGTCTTCTAAGAGGAATATAAGTGTCCATCAGACATATGTCTTCAGTTCCAAATCCTAGAGTATGTGCATGCACTGTGTGCACACCTTTCTCTTACATCTAGATTTCTTTTGTTAGTGGCTGGTCTACATAGTTGAAAAAGAAAGCAGGGAGAATATAACAAAGCTAAGTTCAGTGTTGCTTTTGAACAGATTACTAATGTTATTTGAGATTTGTTTCTCAAAGCCAACATGGGTATGAATATTGCAATTGCTTGTGCAATTACAGTAGAAACTTACCTTCAGAGATATAATTATACACACCTTTATCAAGTCCTTATTTTTGTTGTTTCTTATGAAGGTCTGTTACTTCACACTTCCCCTTGTTGATAGATATGGCCAACCTCTTTTTCAGCCACTTGGAGGGACCTGTTGGGGTTTACCAGCTGTCCCCACTGTGGGAGATGAGCAGCAGACACTTTGATAGAGGCTGGATGACTCCAGATGCTCCACAGTGGCAACGAGGCTTACAGCAGATTCATTGGTCCTACCAGGATCTCTGAGTTGCATTAGAAAACGTTTTTCACGTTGTCTTAGGAAGTTGACACAGTAATAATCCAAGTGACCTTCTAATCGGTTACCTATGCAGTTAACAAGTATAATGGATAATTAGAGAATTAAGCCTAGTGAGAATGACAAATCTATTGTTGTTTTTCTTACCTAGCAAGGGTTCTGAACTAGCATTGCAGGGAAGAGAGCTTGCTAATCATTTCAAGACTGAGGGAACTCCAATTATGATTGGTAAGTGCTTGAATATTGAAGAAAGGCAGTGAAAGTTCATGGCCTCCATGCACTGAATTGTATTTCAATTAGAACCTGTTCAATTTACTGTACAAGAGTTAATCAAAACTGTAGATGAATTAAAAATTATGGTTTCCCCAAGGTAGCTTCAAAAATGATACAATTTAGTCTGTCTGGTATCTTTTAATTCAGTATTACTCCCAAGCTCAGTATTAAACATGGTAACAAAAGTCAATCTAAATGGTGTTTTTATAAATTGCTTTTAAATCATAACTTGAGAGCTGACTTCTGCTCTCTAGAGGAACAGAAGATCATACAGTTCCCCAAAACTTCCCCTCACAGAAGCGTAGTGTTTCTCTTGCTTGGAAGAGAAGTATATTATCCAAATTTTTTTTAAGACCAGTTTTAATAATCTTAAATGTTGTTAAGGTAAGTGCCACTCCTAAGAATACTGTAACTTTAATTGAACTATTTCCAAGCTGTGGTTTATAAAATTAGTAATATTGATATTATTATTTTCAGCTTTAATAAAATTAATTTTAGCAATTTTTACAATCCGTATTTGATACTCCACAATATAGTGTTACTTTCTCAAATTAGAGGTCCCAGAAGTCCAGGCTTTGGTATGATGATGGTTTAGATTATATGTTAGAAAGAAGTGAGGGTGGTGAGGCACTGGAACAGGTTTACCAGAGGAGTTGTGGATGCCCCATCCCTGGGAGTGTTCAAGGCCAGGTTGGGTGGAGCTTTGAGCAAGCTGGCATAGTAGAAGATGTCCCTGCCCATGGCAGCAGGGTTGGAACTAGAAGATATTTACGGTCCCTTCCAACCCAAAGCATTTTATGATTCTATGAAATATTCTTTGTCTTTCAGCAGCCTTTTTGTCTGAATTTCAAGAATTTAGAATCCTGTATTGAAAAATCTTTTAGGCTGTAACCTGTTTTTCCCTGTAATGCTCTCTTGTAGGTTGGTTTAATTTTTTTTGTTGTTGGAGGTATGGAGATTGGCTGTTTGGAGGTGGGGTTTGGGGGTTGGTTTTAGTTGTGTTCTTTTGCAGATTTTGCAATTCCTATCTGTTGTGTGGAGTCATTACTACAGTATTGCAGGGGCATAAACTTCTCATGTTATCTGAAAGAAATGTGCTAGAGTTGACCTGTGACCATCTCATCAAAATATCCCTTTTTCCTGTTTACAAGCTAGAGAAAGTTAAAAGTTACTACTCTGCCCCTAATATCCATTGATGTAAATTAGTAGAAAACAGCAGATAAACCTTATCTAGCAATTCTGATTTCTGTTCTAACTTTAGTCATTTTACAACCAGGAAGTTTTCCAGATTTCTTTTATACAGTTAAGTTTCTTTAAAGAAAAACTGCAAAACAGATGTTTGAAATACTCTTGACTTCATCTGGTGAAAGTGTTGAGGATTTAACCTGCCTTGCTGACTTGGAAGAAATTTGAAAAGTAAATTCTTTACTTACTACAACTAATTTTCCCTAGTTGTAGTAAAGATATGTTATTTAATAGTGTGAAGAATCTTATGTAGGTCAGCTTTAGAATCATCTTGAATAACTAAGCTAATCTGTTAGTAGAAAGTGTTGATGTATTTTTATTTAAGCCTTGCCCATTTGCCAATCCCAGTAAAAAAAAAATTTAGCAATTTGTGTTTCTCTTATTTTAGGTGGAGGTATTTTAGCTCACACGATATTAGGAGTGGCTTGGAATGAGATTACAGGGCAAATAAAATATTTGATTCTAGACCCACATTACACCGGAGGAGAAGATCTGCATGCTGTTTTGGAAAAGGTGAGGCTTCATGCGTATATATACACACACATTTATGTATATACATAAATCAAGTAATGTACAGCCAAATACTAATTGGCCATGATATGGCTTCTCGGTTCCTTATGGAGGAAGTGCTGATCCCAGTTAACCTGCATACTACTACATGGTACTTATTGTCGGTTTCTGAAACTTAGTGTCTTTGTAGAAGATGTATCACATCAGCAACTGTTCTTCATTTTATCTGAAGTAACCCATCTCCCTCTTCTACCCTGTAGTGTATACAGTAACTGTGTTTAGTATTTTGAATGAAACAGAAAAATCTGTTCAGCCTGTAAAATGCTGAAAATGAAGCAGAGAAGATAGCCATTTATTTTAAATTTTAAAAATTATTTAAAAAATCCAACACTAAGCATTCTCAGATCAGGCTTTGAACTATGTTTAAAGGTCAGGTACTGAACTGTTTCAAAAATGTGGGAGAACTCTAAAGAAAAAACCTCCAAAGAGCTAAAGGGTATGTAATATTATTTCCACATTTAAAGCCACTAAAAGGGATGACACAGCACGTTACAAAACAGTAAACATAGTGTCAGAAATGTAAATTGTGAAAGTGGATAAAATCTCCTATAGGTGTTACATAATCAATTTCTTCTCTGTTCTTCATATTAAGTTGCAAATAGTAACTTTTATTTTGAATCTCTATTTGATATCCTTGTGTGGGCCCAACAGAAAAAGCTGTTTTAAGAAACATTTTGCTGGACTGTAATTATCAAAGCTTGACATGAAAACAGAAACAATTTCCAAAGAATGTGTAGGACCAAAGGCTGTTACAGCTACAGTTGTTGAGAATGGTCCAGGAGGATACAATACATGCAGAACCTACTTTCCTCATCAAAAGTGGCTGGGGAGGAACTGAGGTGGACTACCATTTTGTAGCTGTTTTCTTCAAAAACATCTCCAATAATTCTGTGGTACTCTGCAAACTTAAGAGCTTTGTTAGACTGCTTCTTTTTTCTGCAGAATCAGGATGAACAGCACAGTTTCTGATACTGAAAGCTCTGCTTGGGGCTGAAATATCAACTATTACCAAAGAAGGCAAGGATTCAGGATGAGAAATGGGAATTGCAAGAATGATTTTAGAATAATATTAATCTCTCTCTAGCAGCAGAAAAGGTAGTGGGAAGGGGGCATGGAGTGCAAGAGATGATACTTCTAGGAACTAAGCTGGGGAGGTAGGAAGAGGGAGAGAGAGTCTCTGTAATAAATTTTCCATTAATGTGTTTCCAGGCATGTAGGGAACTTTCTGAAAATTGTCATTGCATTCCATAGCTATCTGAAAAGAATTCATACAGCTTAGTAAAATGATTAGTAAAATAAATCCAATAGAAGTAAGTAAGAATACTAGAATTCATAGTAGATTTAAAAGCTATCTTGCTTTTTCTTGGACAGGGCTGCTGTGGATGGAAGGGCCCAGAGTTTTGGAACAAGGATGCCTATTATAATCTGTGCCTACCTCAACGACCAAAAGCTATTTAAATTCCTCTCTTGTGCTGGAACATGCTATGTCAGAATACTAGCTGATCTAGATAAAACTGTCCTGTTATTTATCAAAAGAATGCTTTAAGTCAATCAAAACTCAGTTGAAATAGAAACGTTGCCGGTGTAATTTAAATTAAGAAACTTTTTTTTTAAATGAAACCTCTAGAAATAAGAGTTATCTGCTGTGAACTGCATTCCTTACAAATGCATTTATTAGGCAACTAATATCTGTTCTTTTCCCTAATGCAACTTTATATTTATATAGCATTTTTTGCTATGCTAAAATCTTTACAGATTAAATGCCCAATCCTTTTATTTTATGGATTTCTTTCATGATGAAAAGATAAACTGTCCCCTGCCTTTCAGATTCTACACAGCCAGCTGTCTTGTGCACTGTGAATCTGTTCAAAGGCATCGTTTGCTGCTGGTACTGTCAATGACGGCCTTTTGGGAGTGGGAAAAAAATGGCTATATGTACTGAATTTTATGAATTCTGCTCTCATATTTACATGGAAAAAAAAATCAAGAGAATTAATTGTCACATGCTCATTTATTTATAGCTGTATGAATACAACTATTGGGGGGGAACCACAACATTCTTCTGTAAGAAGTAACAATAAACAAGCTTTCCTCCTTCTCAGAAGGAGACAATGTCCCAGCATACACATCTGGCTGCTCAATGTATCATCCAGTCATGTTTCTTCAGACTACACATTCCCCATATTTCATGTTGGGATTACAGGCTGTTTCTTCTGGCAGCAAGGAAACAAGATCTGTCATCTGAATAAACAACAATAAGTCTGTAGCTTCTACATCAGTACACCAGTAAGAGTACCTATTTTTTTTCCCCTTTGTTAAAGCAGTCGTTCCACTGGCATTCCCCATGCACTGTCCGTTTCCAAGAAGACCATAACCTTAACTACCTATGCAAGTTCATCCTTACTAGCAGGCTTCTATATCTAACTGCTATGTGTCTAAAACCATTTACTTGGACGCTGAAAACATTTAGAAAACTATTCTGAATTGTATTAAACTAACTGTGTTACACACCATCTGATCTTCTCCTCTTCCTGCTTATGGATCTGCTGGTTTTACTTTCTTGTTTGTGTGCAGTTGGATCCTCTCTCAGCAAGCCATGTTTGTCACTTAGCAAGTAGCCACACCGTCCTTTCAGTTTCATTGTCTGAGTGTGCTGAATTGTCGTGAGGAACTTGGCACATTCCAGAAAGCCATAAGCAAGTGCAAGATCTGCTGCTGTCTGTCCACTGTTGTTGCACAAGCTGAAACACAGAGTTAACAATAACCAATTGCACTGGCATATATATTATGAGCAACCACCGATTAAGGGGTATATTTAGACAGATGTATAAAAATAACTACAGAAAATCAATATCAAGAAGGTTTGTCAAGGATAGCATGGGGCTCATACAGAGGGCTGGCATTAAATACAACAATAATTATTTTAAAATAAATTTGTCATCAGACTAGGATTGGCTTATATCAGAAAGGCAAGAAGAAGATGAGCACAGCATTGGAATGGAAAACTAACAAGGAGAGATTATGATCAGGAATATTCTCTCAGCAGTTATTACAGAGGTATTTAACATGTAACAAAATAACAGCATATGGTCCATGCTACTTTGGTGCTTATCTCAGTTTTTAATACTCTTATGCTGTAGTCATGCTATATTTGCAGCCTTAGCATGCACATTCTGAACAAGTACTGTGTAAAATACACATCCTTTGATGCTGTTACTGAAATTAATAAATGTAACTCCACTTACTCAATTTTGGCATCGCCAGCAACAAGGAGAGCGAGACATTCCAAACTTCCAGCTTTTGCTGCTTTATGAATTGGGGCTTCTCCAAGGCAATCCTAAAAACACAATTTACATATAGCAGTCATTTGAAGAAGGGGAATGGGATAAAGCTATCTCATCCCTCAAAATGATTGTGTATATCAGCCTGTTGAGAGTTGAGAGAGAGTGTACTTGATAACTGCCATTAAATGTTTAGTGTATTTGTCACCACAAAGTAAAAACACTGTCCTCTGCAATACTAATTTTTTAACCTTTGCCTTCTAAAAGATAATTTACGCAGAATACACTTTGTACACTGATTAACAGCATCTTCGAGCATCATTCAGGGATTGCTGTGACCAACAGCTTGCTACCAGCTCAGAGGTATAAGTAAATTAAACTTTGCAGCTAGAATCCTTATGTGTACTGGAAGTACAAAGGACAAAATTTTGGAGGAAAAATAAATAATCATTTGTGTAAAAGAATTAAGTTCTCTGGAAATCTGCATGCAGCACTGTGTGAAAATTGCATTGTTACAGCAAATGAAATTGCTAACACAATATAGACAGGATTTCTAGTTCATGCTAGAGCTTACTCTAAAATAAGTGACCCCAGGCACCTCATGCCATACAACTGTTTATAAAACCTCTCTTAGATAAAAAGTATGTAAATAATATTAACTGGAATTACTAACATACCAGATTAGAAGTGGAAGAAATGAAACTTATGTATTTTTTACCTGTTGGTTCAAATTTGCTCCTGTCTGCAGTTGCCAAAGTAGGAAAAAAGCTTCACCACCACAAGCAGCCAGGTGAGCTGGAGACTGACCAAAGGCATCTGCAGGTGCGTTCACACCGGTTCCTGCCTCAAACAGATTGCTGAAACTACCAGACTGAAACAAACAATAAATCAAAAGACAAAGAAAAAAAGGAAAAGAAAGAATGTTACTGCCAGTTTAAGCCACAGCAGATCTAAGCACACTGCATTATGGCAGGAAACATCCCCCTCGCAAATCGTCGGACCTTCATGTTCCTTGAAACTTCCCTTTAAAAAAAAAATAAACAGCTCCAAGCATGACATTTTTGGCTTTTAATCTCATAATCAGAAATACCGATCGACAGCGGCAGCGCCCCAACATTCCGAACAGTTCCAGGCAAAGTACACTTCACCCTGTTCCGTGTCTGCCTCCCGGTAAGACAAAACAACAGACCCACCTTCCCCAAACCTCACCTCTGAACTGCAGTCCAGCATCAACATCGCCTCCCTTTGCTGAGCGCGCCGGGCTGGCGGGGGCTGTGGCGCTCCCGCGGCTCGCGCTTTCGGACCCGGGCTGCGCGGCTCGGGCTGTGGCCGCCCACCCCCCTCACACTCGCGGCAGCAGCCGGCCGCAGGCCCCTCCCCCCGCCCGCGTCACGTAGGCACGTCCGCGCCGCCCCCCCCATTGGCCCCGGCGCCCGGGGCCGCGGCGGGGCGCTGCCGGTGCGTGCGGCAGCGCGGGGGCATGGGCGGGCGGCTCGGCACGTCCCGCACACACTCGCCGCCGCGGGAGCGCCGTCCCGCCCACCATCCCACCGGTGTCCGTCATCCCGCCGCTGCCACTCCCGGGGAGCCTGACACCGGCTGCGGCACCGGCCAGGAGCGGGGGTCTCCGGAAACCCCTCCTGCCGCTGGCAGCCGGGAGCCCACCGAACCGTGTACGCATCATACTGGTTTGCTTGGTTTTGCTCTTGCTAAGCACAGCCTCCTGTGAGGTTCTGCCGTCGTACCTTGGGGTACTGCTGGATTTGGAAGGCAAAACCAGGGCAGACTTGGATCTAGGAAAGAAAGCAATAGAGGATTAATTTAGAATTTCCCCTGAAAAATGTTCAAGTCAGTATAAAGAAATCCTCTACGCAAACTCTGCCACTAGGCCAGGGAGACTGACCAGACCTGCCACACTCTATGAAACCCCAGGCTCCCTTTCAGCATACACAGCAAGTTCATCACCAGTCTCAGCAGGACTAGAACTGGTGATGGTGGAGGTGGACACAGCTACCTGTTACATCTCTGCTCAAAACACATTGGCAAGAAGCACAGATTTGATTGTCACTGACTTGAGTTCAAAATGTCCTAGACAGGGTCAGACCACGTGAGCCAAGGTCGCAAACAGGCTTTCCACCCATAGACTTGTCTGTGCTGGAAACCAGAACCTGCCACAGCCATACTCAAAGGCCGTTTCCATCAAAAAGAAGTGCTTGGAATCTGTTTTGACCGTGGTGCAGTGGCATTTCATGGTGCAACCTGCCTTCCCCTCAAAGAGCTGTAGTACTCAGTGCCCACGGCAGCCAGGAAAGGCAAGGGTGGAAGGGCTTAATGCCTCTGCACAGAGAAACCACAGTCGCCATCAGTGACTGCTTTGAGTTTCCAAAAACAGTTGCATAACTTCATTTTGCATGGACAGCCTTTGCAAAGATTATGTTTGAAAGCAGCTGCCTTTCCTTTCCATGCTGTAAAATCCAATTTGACAGAAGATTCAATTAGTACTAATCATGCTTCACAATTAAAAGACTGAAGACCAGAGCATACAACCCAGTGTCCAAAGGTACACGATTCTGTTTCCTTAGCACTGCAGTATTTTCTTATCTGTCAGATGCCTACGTGTTTCTTATGGAAGTTAACATGATGTAAAAAAAAAAAAGTAATGTATTAAAAAAATATTATTAATTGCATGGTTTTGATAAACAGAATTAGAGGAAAAGAAGCCTAACAGGCTTCTACCCTTTAGGGCACATATAGTTCTGAAATGAATGCAGAAACATGATGACAATTACCTCTTGTTTTGCCTTTGGAAAAGAAAATATAAATTACTTAAGTAGTGGAACATGAGTGTATACAGCATCACTTTTAAAGGTGCAGAATTCAGGTAGATAGGCGATGTATCAATTCAGCAGAATTATTTCAGTAAGTGACAGATTTTACCTCTCCTTTCATATGGAAAGAAATACACCTGTGTAATTACAAAATGTTGTGGGGTTTTTTTCCCCCTGAACAGCTAGCCAAGAAAATTAGTGAACAAACAAAGAAAATCCCTACACTTCTAACTATGCATTGTTAGGGAATAACATGCCTCTGCACAGATGCCCCAAATCCACAGTAATTTTTTATGCAATTACAAAGACTCTTCTGAAAACACACATATCCAGAATTAGTTTAAGACTAAATAGTCTTGGATTGCCCAAGAAGTTTGGACTTCTTTTTTTTTTAAAGATGTTTCCTCCCCTACATTACCTCAACAATTTAGAGGTTTCAAGCTGCACCCAAGGAATCATATCTTTCCAGCCTAACCACCTACACAAACTTTTTTATCCAGTCAGGCACAACTCTCTTCAAATTGCTGCTATGAATTAGTTCTTGAGCTTCGGGTCACATTTTGCACACTGCATTAGTGCCTACAGAACTCTTCTGCCTCTGAATAACTGGTATGTATGTGTATTGGTTATAAACACAGAAGCAACAATTCTGATCTATTTTGTATAGCCCAATCCAAGTGCCACTTAAGAACAAGGTTTCCTGGCTACAGTTGCTCTGGAAAAAAGCTTGCTAAAAATTCCTCTGCACTTTGTATCTCAAACCACACATCTGGCTCAGGTATCAAGTAAATGAAATTGGAAAAAATGGTTCTAATAAATGTATGTAAGCATTGGATAAACCAAGGTGTACTGGTGAATCTCAAACCCTTCAGCATTACAAGCAGCTGCGCAGCCCAATGTTAATTATTTTTGCTGAAGGGCAGTGTTGCTTTCACAACCTGTTCTTCACTCTGCCTGTTAAATCAAGTAATTTGTTGGTGATTTAAAAGAAAAAGTTTATTTTCCTGTAGGTCTCTTAGGCTGTGTCATATACGTAAAATTAATCAGGATGAATTTTAGGCGTTTTTTGGTACTTAAAGTCAGTTGGGACTGTTGGAAAACGTGATGTAGAGCCTACAGGTTTAACCACACAAATCAGGAAGCATCACTCTCCTGATTTGACTGCCTCTGTCCCTGTTGCTATAGAAACAGATTGCACTGCCAGAAATGGAAGGATGATAATCATCTGGAAAAAAAGGGGAAAAAAAAAAGATGGGAAAGCAGCTAAAGATTATTTTGAAAGCACTCTTGCAACATTTTGGTATTATTTCCCTTTCTTTAAGAGAGACAGCCAGAAGCGATCAACAGAAGTGAAAGCAACGCCTTACATTTCAGGAGAAATAGCATCAAACAGCATTTTCCCTCAATTATCCTTTTACGTTTTGTAGTATCTATATAGGGAAAACAAAGTACATTACAACAAACAGTTTCTGATCCCTGGAAGTGCTGAAGTCCCGTTTGCTAGACTGAAGTTTCATGTCCTGGTGTCTTTTTCACGAAATTGAATTCAGAGTTTCTGCTCCTTTTGCCTATAGCCCCATTCTGCAGAGTAGTTTGGGCTTCTGCATTTAATTTCGGGCAGGATGGGCAGGAAGAAGGAAAGGTCCGGTGTGTGCCCAAACCGCAGCGTGTCCTGTCACTTATTCCCACAGTTTGGCATTGGACAACGGCCGGAGGTGGAGCAAAGACCAAACGGAAAGTGCCATCGTTACAGTCCCTGCTTTCCTCTTTCTGCCTCAAAGGCCGTGGGACCCCAGCCCGGCCATGGAGCGGTGCCAGGTGCCGCCACAGCCGGGCTGGGCCGCGGGGAGCCCCGGCTCCGCAGCGGGGGACGCTCCTGCGGCGCGGGAGCTCGGACCAGCGAGGCCGCGGCGCGCCCCTGAGACACCGTGCCCCGGCCGGGCGGCACCGGGCTCCCCCCGCCCGGCGGGCTCGGCCTCAGCCCCCTTCGGGCGCGGGGCTCCCGGGAGGCTTCGACCGCCGCTGCTGGATGGCGCTGCACAGCGAGCGGCTGCCGCCGGACTGCAGCGCCCAGCCCGCCCCCGGCACGCCAGGTACCGCTCCCAGCCCGCCCCGGGGTACCAGGTACTGCTCCCACTGCTCCCAGCCCGCCCCCGGCATGCCAAGTACTGCTTCACCTTCGCCGCTTCCACCTGTTCAGGTTCGCTTTTAAGCTCTTCCAGGACAAACTTCAAGCTCACAAGTTTGTGAACAGGCTGTATTCACTGAATGCTTCCTTCAGGCTTTTAGTGAACTTTTGCTTTTTATAACACATCCCTCTCTCTCTTCTAATCTTAGTCTTTTAAAGAATGTATTAAAAAGGGGACCCGGCCACTTCAGACCTTAGGTGTGCTCACTGATGCTGTTCCATCGCTTTGGGAACAAAACCAAATGCATGTCTCTTTTTAAGGAGATGAGCACATCTATGCTGCACTGTTTGCAAAACTGAAGAAGTTTCTGGTGAGGAGAGCATCAGATGGAGATCCTCCAGCGCCTTTTCTGGACGGACAACGGTACTATGAACAGGTTGTGCTTTCTTTCTCTTAAGTAAATATTACAAAGTTGGCAATTTTCAATACCATTTCAGTGGGAAAAGAGACATCTTAAAAAAAACCTACAAGAGGTTCCTATGCCTGTTTGTATCCCATTAAAATCCCACCAGGTGTTCCCCCTAAGTTTTTTCTGCACTTTCCCCCTAAGTTTTTTCTGCACTTTTTCTGCATCTAGTGATGTCTTCCAGTTCCCTCTCAGGTCTCCTTAGGACCAGATGAAAAAGAAGCAGCCTATCCTTACAGTTAACTTTCAAGCCAAGTTGTTTTTTTTGGCCAGCTGACTGGCCAAACACAATGCACTGTGTTTTCAGTTACCAGGGGTACTGATCCCTGACCTAGACACAGCTTTTGATCTTTGTTCCCCACCTAGCCACCAGTTTTGATGAAACTTGTTGAAACATGTTATCTTTGAGATTCCTGTCCACTTCAGCTAAAATTGGTTGTTCATATCTTTAAAAGCAAATGCTCAGGGAACAGTGTAAGACTGGCTGGCAGGTAAACTGAAACCTCAGCTTCTTGTGAAAATTAGAACTTAGTTCAGGAAGATGAAAAAGAATGTAGTACAAGTACTGATTCAGGTATTTTCCAGTGTGACGTGCATGGATTCAGTACTGTTTAGACTGTAGCAGTGGCACAGTGTAAATCAGTCTCAGGGTTTGCAGCAAGAAGAGAATTAACTCACTCAGGGTTTCTGCTTTCTGGGCCCTGTCCTTCATGTTTTCATTAATGAATTACTAGATTTTGGCATGATCAAGACTAACTCCATGGAGCAAAAGACCTGTCTGTTTCTTGACAAGCTGGCTTGGATGTCCATGATATATATATACATCCCTAAATTTATTCTTTGAGCCAGTTTTAATGTTCACATTTTTTTTAATATATGTCTGCAGTGCCTAAAAATGCACGTGCTCATAGTACTGCACTTTTATATGTTAGAAAAAAAACACTGCCTAATCAGAGCCATATGTCTCCTTCTTATAGCACTAAATTCTCAGGAAATGTAAGAATAAGTGTACCTCCAGTACTTCTTTTTCTGATATTCACAACAGCTAGTTGTGAAAAGGAACTGGTTTTTTTTTCCTCACGAGTTCTTTAAAAAAACAAAGCCCACACAGTCATAATGGGGAGGTCCCAAGACAATTAGTGGTTTACACAACAGCTTGGACAGTATTAACAAGGGACGATTTATCATTGTGATGACATTTGACTTACTGTTGAACTATTGTTTGGTTTTAAGCTTTTGCAGTCTGACACTGTTTTATCAAAACATACAGAAAATTTGAAGGAAAAATATAGAGAAGAACATTTTAATTTCAATAGTTTTTACTTAGTATGCATGCAGAAAAATATTTTAGTAAGGACACAAGGCTCAGTTAACTGTTATACTGCAGTTGTTTAACAGTATTTTTAAATATAGTTTCTTCTTAATGCAGAAGCAAATACTCCCTAAGATTCTGGCTTAGAAATGAAAGTATCTCTGCTGCTGCAGTTGATGCCTTCGTAAGAAATGTCGGGCAGACAGATGGGTCCATAAAAGTCTTAGACATCTGAGTTTATTAGTCTTTGTGAAACCAACCCTTAGTTGAGATGTAAAAGCAGACCTAAGTTAAAGGATGTCAGATAGACAGGGCAGGGACTCTGAATTAGATTTTATCTCCTTAAACTAAAAAGATGGTGTTTTGGAAGAGGGCAGGAAAGTTTTTCAGAATGTCTTTTGGTTATCCAACTTTCTTGTGGCTGTTGACTTACTCTGTTTCTGTTTTCTGCCAGTTCTATGGTTCAATTTTTTTGGTTTTTGTTCATGAGAGAAATGCTATAGGTTTAAAAATTGTAAGGCTGTATATATTGGAGAGTTAAGCTGCTGTATTAGTCTTCATTCTGTGTAGTTCGTTGTTTGATTTGTCTTTCCCAGGGGTTGTATGAAGAAGCATTAACGCAATTTAAAAAAATTGAGGATACAGATTTTCAAGCCATGTTTCAGCTTGGTGTAATGTATTATGATGGACTAGGCACTGAAAAAGACCCTGTGAGTAACCTAGCTGCACACTTTTTGCTTTTCTTCTACTATTAGCTGATAATTACTAAGAGCTTCTTTGTAAGCATGATTGTTTAGTTTAAAATAAACAGCTTTTTGATTTAGAATTAGTTTCATAAAGTATAGATGTTTACAGAGCATCATTTAAGAGAGAGGGTTCTGGGTTGAGGAAGTTCTCAAAAATGGCTATAATAAAATAGATGTATCTGAAAAATATGGTAATTTGTATTTTAAAATGTAACTTCTAAGGGCTTGATTGTACATTGTGTGGAAGCTACATTTAAGGATTGCTATTAATTTGTTACTTTTTAATAAGCAGTTCATATAAATGAAAATAAAGTGCGCAAAAATGGAAATCAAACAATTATATTTCAAAACATAAAACATCTGTTCCACAAAGACTTTTTTAAAGTACTTTCTATTCTTTTAGCGCAGATGCTGAAGATGATTGTGCTTCTGTCAGTGGTTGACAGTAATATTTTTAAATTAAACAAATGAAAAACTACATTTGCAAGAAGTTGAGGAATTCAAACTGAATAATTATATTACAAAAAAGGAAGACAAAGGAATGATTTGCCATCAAGAGTTAATTTATCAGTAAAGATGATCTTAAAGAGTGGCATGAGGAAAGAATACAAGCAGGATGAAAGAAAGGGTAAATTACAAGGAGGCAAAAAAAAAATTAACCAAACAGTATATTAACAAATGGGACTCTTGCCTGGTGCTTACAGGATTGTCAGCAGAACGGAAAATATTCTGCTGGGGTTTAGAGGTGGTTCATTTGTTCTGTATGCCTGCATGATTACCACATGTATTTACTTGCAAATAAACATTTTAGCAGAGTTTCTTCCTTTTTTGTGTATTACAATATGGAAGTTGAATAACTGAGAAACCTTTTATAAAGCACTGTTTCTAGTATATTTAAACAGGGTGTCCATGCTAAATCCTAGCAGTGTAAATCTTGATTAGAAAATACTTTTGAGGTGCAGTTGCTCATATGCAATGTTCTCCATTTGTTTATTTAACGTTATCAGGTTTTCTCCTTTATGAATCTAAGGTACCCCCTTTTAAATGAAGGGACTTGAAAGTGTACTACGTATCACTTTACCTTCTGTTAAGACTGTTTTATGATTTCAGATACATTATGCAATATGAAAAAGTTCACAGAATTCTGAAATTGGAAGTGTTGCAAGTTTAGGATGCAACATGCATTTATGTAAGCAAAATAACATTTTTTAGAAAAATTTTATCAGTGAAGAAGAGTAATATAATACCAGATGAATATTTATGAAGAAATGTTTCACATTAAAAATATGTTGGGGTCAAAGATCTAGGGGCTATTAACTAAAGATCAGTTCCGCTTTGGTATGAACTATTTTCCTACCAGTATGCCTCAGCCTTTCTTCAGAGTGGAAAAATTACCTTTCTTGCAGAAGTTAGTGTGTTCTCAGATTCTTTATTTCATCCTCTTCACAGTCTGAACATAATAACTTCAATGGCTCAATTTTAGGAAAGGGCAGTGGAATACATGAATAAAATACTCAACTCTGATTCTCCAAAAGCAAGACACCTGAAGGTTGCAGCTGCATACAATCTTGGCAGGGCGTATTATGAAGGATGTGGTGTTAAGCGTTCAACCGAAGAGGCTGAAAGGTAAGGGCAGTCAGTGATTTTCCTGACAAATTATAAGCTTCTGTGTTACTTAAACTTTGTTGTCCCCATTTTCTTAGGTTGTGGCTTATTGCTGCAGACAATGGAAATCCAAAAGCAAGTGTAAAGGCCCAGAGTACTTTAGGAATGCTTTATTCTATGCCAGTTCTAAAAGATCTGAAGGAGGTAAAGTCCACTTGTACCTTTTGAAATGAAAATGAGTCCAAATTAATTTTTAATTTTATGGAAATATTACAGTGATATATTTGATGCTGAAAGATGTATTTTAAGTAGTTAAGCAACATTTAGCATTATCCATTTAAGCCAGTATGAACAGATGGCCAGAATCCCTCATTTTGACTCACTTGACGCTGCTAGCCAAGATTTATTTATATTTTTTTTTAGTGAGAGTATCAGGAAGAATGATAGAATGGATTAAAGTTTTGTCACCTTTGGTAACCTTCAGAAATCAAGCAGGTGTCACTGACTGACAGCTCTGACAGTAAATGGAGCAGGTTTAAAAGCCTTACAAGGATTCTGCTTTCTTTTATGTATAAGCACTTCTTACAGTTTGGTATAAAAGATTTTATGGAAACAGTATACAAGGAAAGCAGCTAAAGTGAATATATACTGCAACTTTGTGTCTCATTTAGGCCTTTTTCTGGCATTCAGAAGCATGTGACAATGGAAATCTGGAATCACAGGGAGCACTTGGCATTATGTATCTCTATGGACAAGGTATACGTCAAAACACTAAAGCTGCTTTGAAGTGCTTGAGAGAAGCAGCAGAACGTGGAAACATCTATGCTCAAGGCCATCTTGTAGAATATTATTACACTAAAAAATTTTACTCAAAAGCTGCTGACCTAGCCAAAAGGTGAAGTTAATTTTGTTTTATTTTTCATTATGGTTCATGCAAGACCACATAATCCAGATTAAAATTATTAATAAATTAATGCTCTTGTCTTTCAAACTCAAGAAATCTTTGAGATAATGAATTGCAAAACCTCACCTTTAAAGATGGAATAGCCAATCACAAAATGAATACTATAAGGTTCTCAATTACTCAGTATGGTTAAATTTTTCTTTCTGATCCTGTAAAGCAAAATAGCCTTGAACTAGAATCCAAAGTAGATGTCCACACGCAAGCCTGCCTTTCTTGTCTCTTCAGTCCACGATCTCCTCTAGGTTCCTGCCTTCACCATTCCCTTTAAACACCTACAATCATAGAATCTTCAGGTTGGAAGGGACCTCACAGATCACCTGGTCCAACATTTCTTGGCAAAAGCACGGTCTAGACAAGATGTCCCAGTGCCCTGTTCAGCTGAATCTTAAAAGTGTCCAATGTTGGGGAATCCTACCACTTCCCTTTACCTGCTTTTCCATTTCTGCTATGCTCTCTCTTGGTTTTGAGCAGGCTCAGAAGCTCACAGTTAAGCCAAGGGGGTCTCTTGTCCCACATACTTTCCTTACCCTTAAAGGGAATGAATGTTTTTTGTTCTTCCAGGAGAGCATTCTTGAAAACTTTGTCTTAGTACTAACTCTCAGTGAGCTCAGCAGGATCCCAGATCCACAATATTGTCATCACTGCAGCCAAAGCTATCACTAACTGAGATATTACAAAGCAGATTTTCTTGGTTTGTGAGGAACAAATCCAGTAATGCCTCATTCCTAGCTGGTGCATCTGACATTCATACAAGGAAGCAGTCCTCTACTGCTCCATGCCAGGAGCTGGATGGATGTTTTGGGAGTTGCTGTATTCTTCCATCTAATGTCTGGGTAGTTAAAGTCACCCATAAGAACCAGGTTCTGTTACCCAAAACTTATTAAGTGACCCAAATATTGCCTTGTTGGTCTCATTGTGTTGGTTTGGAGGTTGGTAGCAGATGCCTGATGCAAGATGCCTCTTGGAAATGACCCCTCTGATCTTGACCCAGAAACATTTGATAAGGCTTCTAAAATTGTCATACTTGACTTCTATACATTCAAGTTCTCCTTAACACAGAGCATGATTCCTCCTCCTCCTCTTCTTCCCTTCCTGTCTTTACAAAGCAGCTTAGAGCCATCCTTCATGATGCTCCTGCCAGTGAGTTGTTCCACTATGTTTCAGTTATTCCTGATTGCATAGCTTTCTGACTGGGTGCAGAGCTCCAGTTCCTCCTGTTTGTTCCCCAGGCTGTGTGCACTGTATACATACACTTGAGGTGGTTGGTCTTCTGGTTCACATCTTAGCAGTCAACTAAAGAATATTTGTTGCTGCTCTGGTTGGCTTGATTTATTCCCCATTTGGTTGCAATGGCACAAGTGCTACCACCTTGAGTCCAAAGTGCCCCCAAGTCCTTCTCTTTAAAGCACGCCTCACCAGGTTAGCTAAAGATTCCATTGCCTGTTTAGCCAAGCAGATCCCATCCCTCCTTAACGGGCTGTAGTCAAAGAATGCCCTGTTGTCATAAAATTCAAAAGAGTCATGACAGGACCAGCCAGAAAGCCAGAAGTTTATTTGTATTATATGTCTGGTTTTGGCCGCATCCTTCAACCTAACTGGTGAAATGGAAGAAAAGGTAATCTGGCACAAATACTTTTTGTGTACACCTCCAGGCCTTTGTAGTTTTCCTTGATTCTGTGGTGTCACTTGCGCTCGCATGAGAGAGTAGCAAAGGGTCTGTGGCACCCTCTTGAAAGCTGTGGCACCCTCCCAGCAACATCTTGGACCTCAGCTCCTGGACTGCATACTGTACAGGCGCTTTTAAGCCTGTACCACAAAACAGGCATCTGCAGGCAAATGGTTTCTGGTGATTATCTTCTTGCCTAAAGGTACTGGTCTGAGCCCCAGTTAGGCAGCACTGACTGGCCTTTTCACAGGCAGTCACTGTGGGACTCACTGCTCTACCTACACACTCCGCAGTGGCTTGTGTATTGAAGAAATAGCGGCTTTTGTGATAGGCTGCAGTATTTAAAATAGTCTGTATCATGTTTCTGTATCTTGAACTAGTCAGGGAGAACAAGAGCAATGTTGGTGCCAGTTCTACAGCTGATAAACAGCACATTTCTGTGACAAACCTCCAGAGCTCAGTGTATAAATTCAATCTGTCAATCAGATTATTGATTTGATGGAAATAAGCTGCAGATAGACAGACTACTTGCACAAGCTGCACACAATAGCATTCACGCCTCTTGGAGTATGTTTATGAAACTGCTGCTGCCTGGCAATAAACAAATAACAACTTACCATCTTAAAGAAGCTGCACCCTGTATATGCCACCACATATACAGCTCTGGTAATTCATAAGTTCAGCTATGAATGCTGTTTGCTATACTCTTTGCTGGAAGGGATTGTTTCTCTCTGAATTGCTGCTTTTCTTTCTTTTGCACTGTAAGTAGACTGATAGCTATTCAGTCTAGTCTAGCCTGTCTCGCTTGGAATGAATCCCCTCCAGTCGATGCTGCACGGTAGATTATTCAGACAACTAAACTGTGCATTTCATCAGCTGCAATTGTGATTGCACAAAATAGCAATGAAATCCCACAGTACAGTCAGAAGTGACAATTTCTGAACCAAAAGATACTGCCACCATTAGAATTGCAGTTGGCCTTGAGGCAAAAATCTCAGCAGTTCAACCAGTAGTATCAAGTACCAATACCTTTTCTGCTAAAATTTGTCCTTCTATGTTCATACCAACTACATAGTTTGTTACATTATGTACAAGCATACAAACATGTTATTATGTACAGTATAACCTTGCCTAATATTTGAAGTCTGGATTAGCTACTGATACTTCACTTCAAATAATTTTCGTTATCCCATATGGTTCTACTTACCCATTTCTGCGGTATGTTCTTGAAGTCAGCTGTGATGAAAAGTGTCTTTGCCTAATTTGAGTGATATTGTTATCTGCATCAGCATCCTGTGGTGTATCTTTTGGAAAGGAAGTAAAAATGCTATGCATCAGGAAAGATGAGATAATTGGTTACTGTTGTCATATTTGAATGTTCTGGCTACTAAGAACAGTTGTGTTACTGTATTTGTTAATAGGACCAAATTAGGTGGGAGAATGTTGCTCTCAACACATTCAAGTGATTTAGCAGGCACTGGCTTGAAGAGGGCTAATTGGGAACAATATCCTAGTAAGGACTTGGAATTTTAGAATCGTCGAATCATGGAATGATTTGGGTTGACCCTTTATAGATCATCTGGTGGCAGTCTCCTTGCTGTGGGCAGGGACATCTTCTACCAGATGAGGTTGCTGAATTACAACTGCCTTTCTTCCACATATTATTTCCATGAAATAATTTAATAGGAACAATTAGTGTAAAATATGTTGCCTTTTATAACCAGTATGACTATAATGAATGTGACTTCAAAAGTTATATATTTGTTTGCTATTTAATATCACCATATTCAAATAAGACTAACTTTAAATCAAATACCGAATAGAAAAATCCTCATAAGAGGCCAAATACATGTAAATTGCAGCTTACTTTGGATAATACCAGAAATGGAAAGGAGGCATTGTCAAGGTTATATATGGTCAACTTTAATTATAGCTTGAACTAGCATTATCTAACCTAATGCTCTAAATTCCACAATAGGACCACAGAAAACAATGACATCGATATGCTAGCCAAGAAAGCTGATTGCCATCCAACATATGTAGCCAAGGGGGTTGCTATGGCTGCTTTCTACTTGGCTAGATGCCTCCAGCTTGGCCGAGGTATAAAGCAAGATCAAGAAGCTGCTAAAAAATACTATTCTAAGGTAAGTTGAGAAAGTCTTACAGACTAATTTATATCTCATGAAACTGAGTGATACCATGGATTTGAGTCTTTCAACTTGCTGTTCTGTTAAAAACCCCAGCATTGTTTGTATTAAAAAAAATCTGTGCAAGAAAAGGTATAGTGATAAAGTATATTGAAAACTACTAAAAATTGTCTTGAAAGGATGCTATCTGGCCACTTGCTTAAGCAAACAAAGCATTCTACAAAACCAACAAAAAAAATCCATGGTAATCACCACAGCAAAGAGCTTGGTAACTTGAAAGATAAATTAGCTATAAAAATTTGAATAATTCTATCCCAAATCAATTTGCTTTCTGTCATTCTCTAAAACTGAAACATCATTACTTTTCCTCTACTTTAGATTCTCTAACAATTATAACCTTCATTAACAATACTTAAATTTGCCATAACTGGTTCTCATGCTTATTTTTCTAATTACATTTTTAGCAATAACTGAGGATCTACTGCTTTCCCTGTTCCCTATACTCAGGGAAAAAAACAGTCACATTTTTTCAACGTTTAATCTTGGAGTAAGATTTATTGCTTGAGGAAAAATATCAGTAATTGCCTCCAGAAGATGAATCTGCTAAGTAATATCTGTGATGCCTAAAGGTACATCAAGGCTAGGTGATTATGTCAACTGAAGGGAGCATAGAAAGTTTCCATCTGTGCTTTAGAGAGACTATGATTTCTGTGCATGTAGTGACCATTTGTTTCTGCAAGTAGAATACTTTGATTTCCAGCTTGATGCAATCTAAGCAAATGGAGAGTTATGTAAATGATAAATTATCAAATAATTTTTGTGGCTCCTGACTCAGGGAAGCCACTGGTATGAGGGTCTTAGCAAGGCAGGTGATCTTCTGAATACAGCCATTTTAAACATTTTTGTTCTTCTGCTGCGAAAAGTGTTATAGGATAAGGAAAGGAATCTAAGCTGAGGTGTTATGAACACTGTAGCATTATTCCTAGCTACATTTTAAGGCATCGAAGAGGTCCATCAGGATTAAATTGCTGCATGGCTTTGTGGGAGCCATTGTCTCCTTAAGTCTAGCAAAACCACCACTACTGAAAGAAGATTACAACTTTTACTCATTATTCACTAGCTGTACATCTGATACTGATCTATGAATGTCACTACCTTCTCAGTATAAAAAGAGATACTTCCTATTGACTGGTGCCATGCATCTCTAAATCAACAGTAAAAGAAAAGGAACATATAAACAAGGAAGCTCCCTGAAACAGTAACTTTAGAACAAGTTAAGAGTTGTAGGGGTGTCCAGTTTCTTTTTGCCTGGAAAATTCTCATGTTAACTGTACAATTACACCTACTTAAAGTTAAAATCTTTTTTTTTTTTTAAATTAACTTCCCTGCTGTAGTTTTGGCATACCTTTCATAGACTCAGTCAGTTTTGAAAGAGGTGAGAAACAGAAGATGGGCTCCTCCTAAGGGTACTGAAATAGAGGATGGAAGTGAATGAAACTGATCCAGTCTGTAAGCAGATTTATATTTCTGACTGAAGCCAGCACAGGCCATGCCAACAGAATTTAAAAAAATAAACCCAAGATTAACACTATAGTCAAGTATGCTAATTTTAAATTTTATTGTAGCTATAAACCAGAACACTTGTATTCTTTGTTTTCAAAGGCATGCCACCTGGATCCTGCTGTTGCCTCTGACCTTGAAGTGGCAGCTAATCTTGGGAGAATTTAGCACTTCCTTTAACTATGACTGGTATATAAATGTATTTCCTACAGTAAATCATCATTCATCTCCAGCAATTACAGACTGTGCCTTACTTACTGCTTGTTTTCAACTTTCTCTAAATTCTTATTTAAAGCAATTTCCTGATTCATTTTATCTAAAATAAAGAAAAAAGCTCACTCTTTCTTTAGCTGAGATGAAGGCAAGGCAGACTTTTTAAAATAGTATCAAAGACTTAAAGTTTTATTAAGGACATTTATCTGGGAACAGATATATTTTCTTTATGTCATACTGCTATATAGCACATGAATCAAGCCAAAACCAAATAAAAATAGTTTTTTTCCTTTCTGCATATGTAGTGTTTCTTTTAATATTCTGAAAAATTTCAACCCAAACTTGTCTAGTTTTCACATACAGTCCATTCCCAGGCTACGGCCATTTTTAAACCTTATCTTTGTTAGCAGTATGTATACTTTCTTTCACATGCTTTCTAATGCATTTAGATCTACTTAAGTGTCTTTACACATTTTACTCTTGGATTGCAGAGATTTGAAGTTGGAAACTGGCCTGTAAGACACTAAGCTTTACAGTTCAAGCCATGCCAGCTTGTAAAACTAGAAAATACTACTTACAGAATTATGGGAGAAAACCTCCAAACATGAGTAAGGAAATATTCAATATACATTCTCAGCATGAAGCCTGTTTTCCTTAATCCTTCATATTGCATTTACATTGCCTCTGTTTGTGTTAGAAATTGTTGAAAACCTTTTGGCTAGGAGTATGTCTGAGCAATGTCATGCTCAGTCTTTTATCGAAAGATACGTTGATTAACCACTAGTAAAACTTAATTGCTATGGTAAGCTTGCACATTTCTAAATACCCACTTAAGTATAAAACTTTTTAAGTGCCAAATTTGGCTTGCTTCTTAGGACTGTGCCATGACCTGAAAACTTTCCTGAATCTGTTGGAACAGAAAGCTAGATGTTACTAAATTGTTGATTAAATATAGAATACAGATAGCGTGTACCTTACAATACAGCCAATTTTAACTGCAAGTAGTTTTTCTAAGAGCACAACTGTACTGAATTGAAAAGACAGTAATGAGTGTCACCTTGGGATTTCTGATGATGTTTAATTATTTAGATGTGCATTAAGACCATATTTACATATTTTTACATAAATTAAAAAAATAACCAAAAGCAAAAAACCACTGAAGACAGTTTCCTTTTCTGGTATAAAATAAGGGAAATATCTGAAGGTTGTTTGAAAGTGGGGTATTTGAATAAAAGAGCCCTGAGTAATATCAGGGAAGTTATTAGAATGGTTTAATTAAATGTCTGCTTGATCATTCATAGAAGCAATTCATAAGCAGTGATCTCTGAACTAACATTTAACACAGGCATTCTGTTAGGACATACCAGTTTACAATACATAATTTTGACACAGACTTCAAAGCAATGTAGATATTTCTTATGAAACTAGTGCTGTCAAACTCATTCATTAGTTGTCAGTACAGCCTCACTATCAAATACTGCAATCCAGTTGTGATATTTATTGCTTACAAATGCTTCAAACTACAGGAAATCTTTGGTAAAAACAAAATTGATAAAATTTTCACAATAGCTTTACATGTAGTATTGCACAACAAGGCTTTTTCAATACACAAGAAAAAAAAGAGGAATGCTCAGATCCTCAGTGAGGAGATTAGAACTGTACAACATTCATTAGTTTTCCACTATAAGCAAAATTTCTTTTCATAAATGTTTAAAATATTTTCTGGTTTCTTTCAGCATATATGAACATTTATTTTTCAATCTATATTTGAAACAGAAGAGTAGTCAAATAGAACAATTTAAATAAAAATTGGCAGCTATACAGCATTGTTTTGTCTACCCTACTACAGCATCAGATCTTTTCAAGTCTGTTTACTTCACAAAAAAACTCAAGAGGAAAGAAAAATGCTAAAAATAATCATAGTCCTCAGCCCTCTATGGAAAAGAGGAAAATAAGTTTCATGTCTATTATCGAACATAGACATTTCTCTAGTGGTCCAGTTGTGCAGATTCAAACCTAAGTGGCATTAAGCTGCTCTAAATGAGCTCTCAGCTCAGGACACAGCTCAGTTAGCAGCAGTTCCAGCAAAACCTGAAAAAGAGAAACAAGTTAAGATGATGCAGGTGTCAACCAAATGAGAATTTGTGCTTCCCTTCTGTCATGTTTAGAGCATCACAGATAACAGAAGCATGTACATTTGATTCTATTCATCATTCATGCAACTACTTTCCTTTCATCCTGAAGTTAGCACGTGCCCTACAGAAAACATGGGAAATGTCTTAAGGCTGAAAGGAGGCAAGTGCAAAGGGCAGCTGCTTTCAGATGGGGATTTCCCACCCAGTATAAACTGTCCCTGTTCTGCCAAAGTCTCTGCAGCATGATAAGCAAGCACCAGAGCCTGCATCTCATGCATCTCCTGAACAGGCTGCATCCTCTCCAGTGCTAAGGCTGCACTGTGTGAGGGTCTAGTGCCCAAAATGAGCCAGAAGAGACTGACTGAGCATGAAGGCATTATACTTAGATCCATCTGCATGCTCCAACATAGTCCCACTAATGGTTGAGGAGTGGGACTTTTGGAGTCCTGTCATGTCCTAACTACAAGCCAGTCCTGGAGCCCTCCTTCCCTAGGATTCTCCAAGATATATTTATTTTTCTAAGCTGTATGAAGAAATTAGTTTGCACCTTATGAAGTCAGGAAAGTTGGATCTCTTTTAGATAAAAGCAATGCTGCTGTTAAACAGCCTTTTGTTATTTAAACTTAGTCAGGGAATCAAACCAAGTACATTTTTCTCACTGATTTTAATAACAAAAGAAGTTACTTGCACACAGACCAATAGTTCAAACTAAATCACCTGCTTTAATACTGAGTGAATAGAGCTCAGCAATTAACAAGATCATGAAGTTAAAAAGCTACTTTTCTGGTTACTTACATAAAGTAGATGCTTGTTAGCCTTCCTTTCTTGCAACGCATTGAACACTTTCACTACACCATGACGGGCATTTTGTTGTCCAACAAGATTCTGCAGAGTATCTGCAACAAACGTTACTTCAGCTTATATTGCTTTACTCCTGCTAGGCAAAACCTCCAGCCTATACTACTACCCAGAATCACAGAATCAACCCCATCAGGGTTGGAAAAGACTTTCAAGATCATCTGGTTCAACCATAAGGACCCATAAAGGAGGGGAAACAAAGCCACTGCACTTCAGTGGCCCTTGGTTACAAGATACACAGTGTCTAGTCAACAACATTTTAAAAACACGGGTAACTTAGGTCATAGCTTGAAAAGATACCTTTATTCTCACATCACCCAAGTTAGATAATAGTGTATAAATCTCAATGACAACGCTTTATGTGTTTTAACATGATATATAGTATGCTTTTTTGGTAGTTCACCTCACAGAGTCAAGTTTAATCTCATACATTATCTCATACATCACTTACATTACTTTCACCAACAAAGACAGAATTCCTACAACAGTTAAAAAAGATTTACCACTTGAATTGCTTCTCAATCTTCACAGAGAATACTTCCCACAAGTAAGCAGTTCAGAGAATTCTGTGTCAATTATTTACATTTTGGATTAGAGAATAAATAGTGATCCAATGCTCCACCATTAATCTAAGGTGCATTCAGCTATGTCCTGTCATACGGCTCCAAACTCAGAAACAAACAAACAAAAAAATCAAACAAACCCACAGACTATGGAAGGCTATCTAGATAAGTAGGTAAGTACATAACACAGGGAGTAAATGGAGAGTTGTTTACATATGAAATAAATATTTTGCATGCATACCTGCTGCTTTTTTGCAGTAAAATTTGATTAAACAACCTAATGCACAGAGTATCTCAATGAAGTCATAAAAGAGCTCATCTCTTCAGATGAAGAGGAGATAAAAAGCATTCAAGCTATGTTTAAGTGCATTTCCAAGTGCTAAAAATAATGATATTGTTTCTTCCCAGTTAGGAGCCTTTGGTTTGCATGATCTCTGAGGAGTCAAAAATATATAACTGGACTTCTGGTCCTGTGGATGGGACAGGATGGAGCATCTCAGAATGCTGCCCCAGAAATGTGCTGGCTCAAGAGGAAGCTGCCTAGGCTTGGGAGATAAGGGTAGGCAAAGGAGAAAACCCACTCAGCCTAGGATCTTTTTCTGTCCAGGCTGCAGGTCACTCTAACATTCAGCGCTCTGAAATTTCTTATCAGAAACAGACAGCAGCACACAACCTGACATTGTGGGTAGACCTCTCTCTCCAACTTTGAAATAAAAGAGGAAGAAGTAATTAGGGTGGTGTGATTCTCCTATTTGTCATGTACTTCCAGGTAGCAGAACCACCTGGTATTTGCTCACAGAGAACCAAAAGAGAGAAAGTCTCGACTGAGGTTCCTTGATGAATATTACACAGAAGTACAGCAATACTGGATTTTGCATCCACCGATATCTGAATTCATGCCCTTTACCAGACAAGGAGGAGAGGCAAAGAATAAGGCCAAAATTATCCTTATTTATGCAAATAATCATGATTTAGAACTCTAAAGGAAAAATAATTTGATTAACCAGTTTCCTTACTAGCTACTCAATCTGCGACTAAGCAGAATAGAAGTGATCTCACCTGGAATGTTTTCAAGCAGTTTTTGCTGTGCTCTCTGTTTTGTCTCTTGCTTTTGTTCATCGCTCTTGGCTCTCGGTGGTGGTGCTAACTTTCCATTTGGCCAAAAAGCATCTCGAAACACACCAATGTAGTAAACAAGCATTGGTTCACTGAACATCCAGTGTACAGTGTCACGGATTTGCCTGTAAAGAAGTGTTGAAGGGAGCTCATCAGAGTTAGTCTTTCATGTGTTATGCAGATTTATTCTTTTTACTTTTAAAACATACATTGGAACCACATTTCAGGGATGGGCACTACAAAGGCTCCAAAGGGAAAAGATGTAAAAATCAGGTAACTAATTGTAGCAAACTCCAAACTAGCTGCATGCACAGATGTGCCTGCTAGGATAAAGACAAAGTTTTGATAGAAGCACAGTAGGTTCCCTCACAGATAGCAAAAAGCACATTACTGAAGGGATTACAAACGGAGATAGCAGCCTCCTCCTGGGACTGCAGCAGTCACTGTAGCCTTCAGCACCAAGAGTCTGAGGTAGAGAGCAGGCACTACTGCCGTGCCACACTACAGCCAAAACCCTTAGAGTCAATAAATGTAAAAATTCAGCATACATGTAAAAAGCTATATAGTAACTTCACATGCCTGCTGTGCTCACACTCTGTCCCTCTCTGCCCTCTCTCAGACATTGTCCACCTTAGTTATCAGCAGCGTATGAAAAAATGAACCAATCAATTTAAAACTCACTGAGTGTATACTGTCAGAGACCAGTCCAATTTACTGCTACATAACATACATAAAAGGCTTTAAAAACCACACCGGCATGTGCAAATTTAGTCAATGACTGGACAAAGAGTAGGTTGTTCTGCTGGTAGAATACTTTTCCAAATTTTTTCTGAAATAAAAATTTCTGAAGTAAAAATACAGCTTTCCAAATGAAAGTGTGTGTATAGACAGGCACACTGACTTCATAGCCTCATCCAGGCCTCACTTGACAAAGATAATTCACAGATCTGTGTTTTCTCTAACCAACATATTTGTAAATTGAACTGTGTAAAACAAATGCAGATTGTCATATAAAACAGAATATCCCCATTATTTTTTAGAATATCCCCATTATTTTTTTAACAATTCTACTCTCAGCCTTTTTTCCTAGAACAACAATGAAGGTTCATTTAAAGCAACAGCTACTTACTTGTTGATAGTTCTTCCAAAAGTGACTTGTACTAGTGCAATTAATGTTTTTCTGACCCATTTGAACACTAGAACAATGAAAAAATTATGAAAAATGATGACTAAGAAGTTAATAACGTTACAGAACCCATGATTATGTCCAAAACCTTCCCCCTGTCACCCTCAAACCAAAACCAAACAACCCATCCCTACAGTAAACACATTGTGATAACCCTTTCTAAGATTTCATTAATTGTGCAGGTCTCATTTTTCTTGATTGCTTTCCTTGTAGTGTTTGCTATATGATTTTTAAATCTTGCAGATTACATAAATATATATAATTTGCATTTTAGGTTATACTGTGAACTTTTATGTTTAAGAATATTTCAAGTTTATGGAGCCATACAACTACCCAAACCCCTTTTCCGCCTACAAAAACACAAATGTCTTCAAAATTCTCACCTTTTGGTACCTGCTAGTATAATGTACAGCAGCACCATTAAAATTCTGAGAACATTTTCACTCAAATAAAGCAAGCAGTCAGCTTTCCATTACTAATAAAGGAAACAAATGTGAGTGCTTCCTAGTAATTACTGGTTAATCTTTCTTTCATGCTGTTCATTATCAGCACAATAAAGCCTATATTTGGAAGATACATCTGCCATTTTTGGAAGGTGCTGTATTTTGTAATAGTTACCCTGTAAATCATTTTATAGAGCACCATGTGTGGCTGCACATTCAAATAGAAACAAAAATGTTTTTTCTTTATTACCATCATTCAGTTACATAAAGGAGAAAAAAAAAGTCTAGTATTTAAAGATGCCACAATTCTAGCATCTTTTCCATTATACAAATTGTAGAGCTAAAGTGCATACATAATTCACTTTAAATGGATATTAAAATTGTATTTCTTTGCCCGAGACATGTTCTATAATAAAGCCATCATTCCTTCCTCAGAATTTATATATTCTAAAAAGCATCCTATTTACAGAAAACATGCTACTACTCTTTTCTGGGTTTTTTTCCAGATTTTTTTTTCATGAAGAACTTAATTCTAAACGCAAATGCTCTCCCCTACCAGCTAAATTTTTATTACTATTTCATATTGGAATTTCACTTTTGAATGAAAGCTCCAAAGTTATGAACTACTGAGGAACAGCTTGGTTCCAAACAAACAAACTGGCTATAGAGATTGCAAGAACATTTCCACTTATTGAAACAGCAGAAAAATCCAAATTACAAAGTGCCACAGATTTCTGAGCCAAAAGATTCCAATAGCAATTAAGCAGGTTCACAACTTACTTCCTCGCAGTTCAAAAATCTCTCCAATCAGCATGAAACATGGTTCAGCAAGAGAGTCCTTTTTCCCATCCACCTCCTCTCCATAGTCCGACAGGTCACTATCCTCTTCTGTTTCTTCCTAGAAAGAGAGGCACAACATGAGTATGCACTGCAGTTCCCCATCCTTCATCCAGAATGGATTTAGTTACTGCCATGCTCTGGGAAGGAGCACAGCCAGTCATCTCACAAAAGGGCATTAGGGCCAACAACTGCTGCTGGCAGGATCTGGCAAACAGGAACCTCACTCGGGATTTTGAAAAAGGATGGCACTTCCCATGGGACAAGAGTGATGAGGACACTCAGCGCAGCTCAGGTCATCATCACTGCTATATCTGCTTGCAGCCTTGCCTAAGTAAGCAACTCAATGCTGCCCAGATTTTCAGGGTCTACTGCCTATATTGCCCCACCAATACTAGCTGGATAAAAGAAAGCAGGTGATGTGGGAGTCACGTACTGCTAGGAAGCAGGCGAGAGCTGTAAGGAGGAAATGGCACTCAGAGGTGTTAGTGACTACAAAGCCTCCTCTGATGCAACACCCAGGAAGGACACTCAGGATGGGGAGCTAGCCAGCTGGAGCTGTTTGCAACACAAGCAGCTAGGAAGAAAAGGGGAAAATCTGGTTATTGCACAGGGAGAAGCGAGGAGCTGGCTCCCCTGGTGAACAGACAGTGCCTTCACAGCTGAAGCCATTCAGTGGGATCAGGCACTAGCCAGCTGTCCTTGCAGTAAGCTGGGAACAAAACCAAGCAGTAGAAAGAAAACCAGCCACTGCAGAGACAAGCACCATTAACGACAACCAGTCCCAGGCAGAAAGACAATATGGTGATACTTAGTGACCCAAGCCTGAAAACACCCAAGCTCAGAGCACCAAAGGGAGCAGAGTTATTCAGAATAGACTCACAAGAGATGAATGGATTGAACAACCTCAGTTCTGGCAGTACCATTTATTCAAGAATGTAGGGCAGACATCAGGTTGTTCCTCAGTATCATGAAGATCTGCTTCAGAATCAGGACTATAACACCTATCATTACTCATGGCAGCTGACACACCCCTTTGCCTTCCTGGATCCTCCCCTGCCCGCCCATTCTTAGAGCAAAGCTGCAGAAAGGCAGACCTGATCTCCACTGAGGCTGGTGCAATGCCCCAGTCTTTGGATCAGGAGTGGTCAGAATGCTGTGCAAGTTTTCTTCTTCAGCCTGATTTTCAGAGATACCAATCATCTCTTTCTTTGACTTCCTTTCATCCTTATCATTCTAACATCCAGCTGAGCTTTGGATGCACAAATTTTCTCCCTGCAGCAGCAAGCAGCATCTCTGAATTTTTCCCATATCACTTGATCTTGCTTCCACTGGGCATACACCTTCCTTTTTTGCCTTACTTCCAAGAGAAAATTCCTGTTCAGCCAAGCCAGCCTTCTGCCTCACCTGCTTGACTTCCGACATTTGGGAATTGCTGCTCCTATGCCCTTAGGAGGTCATGTTCAAAACATGACTAGCACTGATAGACCCCAGCATCTGCAAAAACATTTTCCCAGGAGACCTTACTTAATAATTCCTTGCTTTGTTTACTTATTTTCTCTTTCCCATATTTCCTAACTATTTCCTCCTATGTGTTCACATAATACAATATACACGCAGCCTGGCTTTTGTCTTGAGGATGTTTTTCAGTTAAATAGCAAAATACAAATAGCTGCATGCTTCTATGCTTTTATGCTACTTCTTAACAGACATTTTAGTGAATGCACTTTGGGTTTTAGAACTGCAGTACTTCTATTGAAGTCCAAATCTAGTTTCTCCAACTTTCTTTATATTTATTACTCTGAAATGAGGCACATGCATTCAGCATCTAGATGCAAACAGAATGTAATTTTGAAAAATGTATATAGAATTTTCTTATTTCTGAGAGATGCAAGACCACCTCTCTGCCTATTAGGAGGCTAGAACTGTACCTGTTCCCCAAACTCCAATTATCCTGCAGAAGACCCATCCACTGCAGACAAATACAGCACATAAGAAATTAATTATTTCATATGAATTTTGTATAACATAAAACTAAAATGGGGAATAGAAACAACTCCTTGAAGGTTGCATATCTGCAACATGAGCAACACAGAACAGAGTGCCATGGAATTATGGCTGATTCTAGTCAATAACCTATTTCAGTCACTAATCTTTTATTCACTGCATTTTGATAGATGTGGTTTTTTATGGCTTAATATCAAATTCTCCAACTGCTTTGCCCACATAGGTTCCTGCCTGCATTTCCAAACTCCCTCAGTAAGCCTGCACTACTTGCCAACGTTTTTGGTCAAAACTATCTTTGCTTCAGAAGTTGTCATAGAATTATTAAGGACACACAGCTCCTGCCAAGACAATCTTCCCAAGAGAGAATTATTTTTACATGCCAAAGCTCCTCTGAAATATGCATATCAAGACCTCAAAAAAGAGGCAAATTCCGCTATAAAAAAAATAAACAATCCCATATGGACTACAATTTGTTTATTTGTGATAGTTTATGCATTTGCCTATATGCATTTATCAAAGGGCAGGAAACTTATTTTGTTAATAAACACCTTTTAAATTCATAGATAGCTCTTATTTTTGACTCTTCGTTCACTTCCAGTAAATTAAAAATCACTTTTGGAAATGTCTTCCAATATTACCTACCATTCAAACACTAATGACTTTCCCTGCTTACTTTGTATAAGTAATTAAATTTGGGAAGATTACTTTTCTACTACTTACCTCCTGATGAGAAAACAAATCACCAGGAAGTCGTTCAAGAAATGAGGAGAGTGAAAAAGACGACTTCTTTCCTTGCACATCAATAACTTTGAGGTGCTCTGGGGAAGGACTCAAGAAGGCATAAAGTGCTTCACTCTGGCAGAGTCTTTCATCAGAGAGTAATTTCTATGAAAGAAAAATAATTACTGAAACATGTCAATTAAACATTTTTTGTTAAGGAATAAGATGTGTCAAGCCATCCACTATAACCAAGTAAGTCATGGCTCAGAGGCAGTGTGAGGAAAAAAAAATCCATGTCTCACAAAGATACTATAACAAGCTAGGTCTAAAGTACTGGAACTATTAAGATTGAAGTTTTTAATCTTACAACTTTCTTTTTTTAATAGAAGTTCTCATTTTTAAGGAATTTGTTGAGAAGTGTTGTAGCTAAAAGTGGCAATTACAGGATTCATTACTTATGATTTCTTAATTAACTGAAGTTTAAATTAACTTACCACTGGAGGAATGGTTACTATCAATCAAACTCATCTTAACTTCAGGCATTTTAGACAACTTCGACATTTATATCAAACCTTACATCTGACCCATTTGTTCTAGACTCTCTCTTTAGGCAATAAAGAGACAATATTCTCTCATTCTGCTGTTTAGATATCTGTTGGTTTTGGTTTTGTTTTCTTACCTGCAGAAAGTTATTAAGCTGGTTCTTGGATTTCTCCATGAATTTCTGGTCTATGGATTTGAAGGGCAGCTTGCTGAGAGAAGGCAACTGAACTTTTTTTAATGATGGAAAACACTGTGTAGGAGAGAGGAGAGCTCACTTAAAATGCATGTGGAGTAAAAGACAACTGGTTCAGAATGGAAATGAAGAGACTCTTTTGTACTCTCATCTCCCTTCCACACCCCTCTCAGCACCCTGAGGAACACCTCCTTTACCCACTAGAGGTTTCCCTTCCCACCACCATCATCTATCCCTTATCATACAGAAAGGTTAAAGCGCTATAAAAAGAAACATTCTCTGTCCCAAAAAGCTGTCATTTCTAATACTTCCCTGGAAGCCAGAGACAAAATCTAGTTTTTACAGTCAGCTCTTCCATGACAGTGAAGAACATATAGCATTCTGACATCGGGTTAGTCCAGTAAAACATTATTAAGAGGGGAAAAAAAATATAAATAAGTCTTATAAGCATCTCTCTCTGTAAGAGACCAGAAATATTCAGACAGAAAACTAGCTCTAAAACGCTAAAAGCCAAAAGGCTGCATTAAAACTGGCAGTATTAAATTTTTATCATTCTGACAAATTTCAGAAATTTGTATCTTCCTCCCTTAGCTGAGATTCATACCTCACTGAGTTTGCGGTGTAGGTTCTGAAACTCATTGAGCTTCCTGGGAACAGTCCAGTTCTTAGTTTCAGCTCCACCAACTTCTTGTAAACTCACCATGACAGAGTAACAGGGCACTTGTTCTCCATTCTCTTCTAAAACCTTGTAGGGAAGAAACCAGCAGATAAGTTATACTACATTGAAAGTAAAACAGTGGAACATTTGAGCTGCCAGATGACTGGCTTGCAAACTCAGTCATCATGAGTCCCATGCTTCTCTTGAGATTTGAAAGCTACATATGGAGCAACACCCTTAATGAACTAAACTTCACCCAAATGCTGTGCCAGTCCTGAATCAGTCCTCTAGCTAACCACTATGGTACCTCACATAAAGCTTAGCAATGCTGTCCACCAGCAATCAAATCTCACGGACATGTCTTATTCAAACAGGTGAGTGTATTATTTCTGTTTTTAAGGTCCCTATCATATAGCTTTCTGATTATCAATACTCCATTCTGGTTATCAATACTCCATCTCTCCTATCTGCATTTACCTGAGTGTTCTCCCTTTATTCCCACGCTTCCTTCCCAGTGCCCTGTTGAGGCCCATCCACATGCCAGGCACAGCAGCTCTGCAGCTGGGCCCTGTGACAACTAGTGCTGTCTCAGTGATTTCTCTACTCACTTGAGCCATTCTGCATGCACAGAGGATGTGGTATCCATGCAGTGTTTATGTCTGAGGGACTCACAACTTTACAAAAATACTAATGAATCAAACTCTACAATCCTCAGTCAGAGGAACGAGAACCAATTAACCACATCGTGCAAATGGGAAAACTACAGCAAAGAAGTTAAGCAATTTTTCTTGAGACCACAGCAGCAGTGTGACCACATTATTTCTTCATTTAATGTAAGAACTGACATAAGAATTTCATCCTTTTGTTCTACTCGTAAAAGATTTTTGTTTACTTATTTTGAGGAGACAGCTAAATTGATTATGAAAGGCAAATAAGGGAAATGCATAAAATACTTAACTCTAGGAAGGCTTTGTCTTTACGTACGTGCAAATAACTGAAAGGTAATTATAAAATACCACTTTCACAATCTTTTTGAGGAAGTTATCATTTTCAAGCTTTTTCTAAAGAATAGTTGAACTAACTACCTAATTAGGATAAAAATAAACTTTAAAATTCATATAATTATGACACATTTTCTGAGAACCCTGCAAAGGCTGTAAAGGTCTGACAACACTTAATGCTATTGATGGATAATTTGACAAGTGACTACATTACCGTTGTAAAAGACACGCAGCTAAAATATACCTTCATATTTTTAGGCCATTCAGAGCTGTACATGGAGAATATTCCCTGTGATTCCTAAAGCTGCATATGGACAACTGGGAATACAAATCTGAGGCCCAGATTTCACATATCTGTGTAAAAAAGCTGCAGCAGAACCCAGACAGAATACAAAGCACCAGCTTGAATGCCTGAAGATATGCCTGTTTCTCAGTGCAGCTATTTGGGGAACTGCCTATCTCCTGCCAGAGTACTGCAGACAGATGCTGGAACAGCCTCCAAAATACAGTTCAGAGAAACATGGCCCAGAAGAACTGGGATTGTGTGGGACAGTCTCTATCCTGTGTACCCCTGAGCTAGACTGGATCTGTGCTCACCTACAAGCTGCAAACACCTCCTGGCTGCAACTTTTGAATACTGGGAGATCAGTGCTGAAATTGCTGATTAGAGTCATGCCTATCATTCTCCATTCTGCATTTGTTCCCAGGGCAAGGATTTGCATGTGTGTAGGGTCATCTGAACTGTAATTGTCAGTAGAGTCACTGCTCTAGAAGCATATTCTCAGAATGAGAGGACTTAGTACTCCTGCTTCAAGTTAGGATCCATGCACAAAATTATTTAAATTCTGATTACTAGATGGAGACATATTACAACTTTCTTCAAGTACCCTCAAATTCTCTCTCATAAATAGTGAAAGTCTTCAGAATCTTTTTAAGAATGCAAAATTCTTCATCAACTTATGTACTTGTGCATTTGTTTTTCCAAATTAATGAGTCAACTGGAAAACAGAAAAATGGGATGTTAGGAGGTCTTCTAAACCAGGAGAACTAGTCCTCCGCTGTTAACAGGCACCATCTCATACAATTGCTATCATGAATAAATTCAAACTAGAGAGCCCTATTCCTCTGATTCTCTCCCTTCTGCTAAGTTAAGCAAATGAAAGTGCTTTCAGAATCACTTCTCATGGGAGAAGTTCCTCACTCAAGGCCCCCAGGTCTTTTTCACTGAGCAGCTTTCTAGTCACCTCTTACCTGAGTGTGGGGTGTGGTAACAGCAAGAAATATGCAATTTTTTCCCTCTTATTCAGATCTACAAACTTGGTTATGAAAGCAATAGATTTTTTAAAAGATGTTATGCTCTGAAACAGTCATTCTTTGGACAAGGGAGACATGGGTTTTTTTCAAATCTTAGGTAACTCTAGTTTTTTATGTGCTATCAACTGGTTTAGTAATCAGTTTAAAAGGTCAGTGATAGGCTATTATACTTTCAGCTTACTTCTATATTCAAATTTACTTTTACTAAGCTTTACTGCAAAACAATAGGGCTACCAAGTTTTTCTCTCTCTAAAATCACAGAGGTACATCCTGGGAATAACAACAGTATATTTTGCAGATAGGAAGACAGTGTCATCTACTCATACCCCTGAAATCAGCTGCAGCCAGAATATTCTCAAGCAATTAATTAACATAGATAATTACAACACAGATGTTTTCTCCAGCCTATCCTTTGAAGCACAGAGCTGCAAACAAGACAACTAATGCAAACCTACAGTTCATTACCTATTCTAGTACTACTTATAGTTAAGGCAGCAAGTAATTAGAAGCCTCTTCCAACTTCCATCTTATTTAGCCAAACTACTTTCTCCTCTGGTAGTATGGGAGACACTGGACAGTTGTGTATGGTGCCCCTTACCACAAAGCTGCCCTTCTGCAGTTTTGTTGCACACAGCATTGCCAGATTTTAAAACTAGGCTTCAAAAGCTACAGATAACTCTTAAAAGACAACTTAAGAGCTTCTCAACTCTCAACTGTGTCACTCGCAAACAGCGTTAAAACAAATCCAAATCCAGATGTTTGCACATGGAGAATTTGGTTTTAAAAATGTTACCTTAAGTTTTTAACCTGTTGGATTTATTTCTTCTTTTACAGACAATGACTTTAATTGTTAACAGACCTATCAATAGCTTGCAAGAGCTTAAGACACAACCAAATAAACTCAACGGCACATACTTTTCCTTCAACAAAAAGTTACCTCAAGATAACTACTTCTATTCGTTCCAGGAATATTTTCTTAATGACATAGGAAGGCAAGCCAGTAGAGACCCAATTAATCTTTAATTCTCTGTAGGGATACTGTCAAGAAGATTGCTTATGTTCCTGTTACATACTACATAACAAGCATTCACTGATTGGCAAGTGTTAGACAGCTAGGAGATGGTAATACTTGTTTTCATTACGAATTTTTTTACATTCATTCTACAATTGTCTGCTTACGCCCAAATGGAAAAGCAGAACAAGACAAAAAAAAAAAGTAACTTCATCTTACAGATATAAAGCACTTTCTTCCTGGGTATTCTAGTCCCCTGAAACTGTACTGCTATTAAATATAATACTATAAAACAATGAGTGTAAGTACCGCATCTTTGAGACACAGCAGAGACACAACTGCACCCAAGTGCAATAGCATGGTAATATAACAAGAGACAGTTCTCATGAAAAACAATGCCTCTAAGATAGCAAACTGTCAAAACCAGTTTATGTTCATGCAGGTAATTTTTATAACTCCATTACAACTGTGTTTGAAGAACAGAAATTTTGTATATGCATCACAGTAGCCACTGGGAAACAAGAGGAACTCAGAAGAGGGTTCCTTCCCCCACAAGTCAGTATTAAGTATAAACAGTGTACACAAAGGTATAAGGAAAGTAGCTACGCATTTTTCCTCCACTTTTCATGCAAGTTTGAACTGACCCAGAAGACAAAAAGCCATAAAAAAATCCCATACCTCTCCTGAGACAATGAAGGCTTTCCACATGCCAAGATTCTCACACCACCAGTCCGTTCTTGCAATGTGCAGCTGAAGATCACTGTGCTCTCTCTCCATCAGAGTAATTTCATCTTTCAGCTTAGAAACAATCTGAAGAGAAAAGTTTATTGATTACAATTGGTAAGAAAAAGCTCATGCAACATGCCTAGTTGTGTCCTTGGGGACAGTGTTCATAAAGAAAAGGTACAAAAGCAGGGGGAGAACAATTCACAATTGAAAAAAAAAATCAAAAGTGAGAGAATCAATGATGCCTCTTATGATCTCCTATAACACACAGCAATCTTAACGGTCGACCCTGATACTAAAATAAAAAACAAGTTAGAAGTACACACTACTATCACACTATCAGCATAAAAGGCACTTGAGATGGGATTGTATATTACATACTGAATGCTTTATACAAAGTTGAAATTGCTGTTACTGAAATAGGCATTACTGAAGACATCCTCCTTATCACCTTCAGCTATACACTACGCAAATAGATTTCATTTCTAGGAATTTAGCTATGTTAACAATAATTCAGGAAGTTATCACTTATTTCATTTTAGTTTTGAAGAGGCAAGGATTTATTACTGTGGAAAGCACAAATTTAAAAAGACATTCTTGTCAAGACGTAACTCACCATCATAATCTAATAAAGGAGAAATAGTCTCTCATCATATCAGCAAAAAAAATAAGTAAACAAATACCCTTCCAGGAGACAGTATGACAACAAAAGGTGGAAGTATACATAAGATGTGATGTTAGAATATGGCAAAAGCAGCTGACACTTTTTTACTTTATTTTTAAACATGATACACCACACAGTCAAACTGATTAGTTCTATCACATGTACCACAAGTGGTGCATTCTACAGCTACAGTAATTCTGTCTCATTCAGAATTTTTTTCTCATGCTAAATATGAAATGTTATCTACATGACAGCTATAGAACAACATTCTAGCAGATACTAACCTTCAGAATAATTTTTTATTTTAATTTATTTACTATCAACATAGAGACTGCTCTACAGTCACATTGCATTGACTCCAGTGGCATCCAGGAACATGCAATAATACAGAAGAACTGCTAAGGTTTCAAAGGTAAACAGCTGCTACATTTACAAACAAAACACAGACTTTACAATGATACTGGATCCATTTTACTATTCCGTTCCAGACAGATATATATTTTCAAAGACAAAGAATATTTTAGAAACAAAAACATACAGGGAAAAACCCACTGCTTTAGTAGGACTAAAATCCCTGCCTCCCCAAGAGCTTAAAGTATAGAAAGAATATAGCTATTATGTTTCAAGAACGCAAAGGGAACTTAGAAGTGATCCATCCATGTGAATGGAATAATATATAAAGGTTTAGTCGTACAGAATCATAGAATGGCTTGGGCTGGAAGAGGGACACCCCAGAAGAGCTGCAAACAGATTTTCAGCTGTCTGCAGTAACCTCTGGCAGAAGGAAGATGTGCAAGGGACAGAGGGAATAGTTAGCCAGGGCAGCCTCAAATACTAGTGTTCACATCTTTCTCTTAGAGGTAGCTATCCTCAGAGCTGAGGTGGTAGAGAACGAGTCAACTTCTATTCAGACCAGCATCTTACCATTCACCCTGAGTGAAGGAACAAATATATGAAAAATCCAGCTCCTGAGCAATGACTAATGCCCAGGTACATTTTTGTCACCCGAAGCAGGAGGTCATTGTAGGGAGGTGCCTTGGCTATTTGTTGGTCTCACCCACCGTGTACCATTTGCAACCAAGCAGTCTCAGTACACCTGACAAGCTTGGCCCACCTGCGTCTGAACAACAGTCCTGTAATACGCAAATGAGTCGGCCTAAGGCATATGCAAATCACTTGCTTCTCCTGGAATATTGTCTCAGACTGCTTAACTGTTTCACTTCACAAGAGAAATGGAGATTCTTTTGTTTGTTTGTTTTGAGCCCAAGTCCGGAGTGCTGAAATTTCATATCCCTCAGAATTTTTCATCTGGTGACAGCGTGCTTTCTCCTAGTTCCTAATAAAGGAAATCAGTCACTTTTATAGGTTTGGGGCTTTTTTTATCCCTTTATTCGACCAAATCCGTCACAGCTGGGTTATGGAGCTGTGCTGTGCTCTTCACAGCCAGCAGAGGGGGCGGGAGTTGACCAGCACATCCCTCCGCGGCAGCGCTGCAGGAGAGGCAGGGGCAGGACACAGGCTGCCACAAGGAATTACACGGACTCGGCAGGGCAGGGAGGGAAGGAAGGAACGCTATTTCCCACCGACGAAGCAGCAAGACCACTAAGAGAGTGGTCGTTATTCCATGGCAAACAAAGCAGTATAAATCATATCTGCAATTTTAGTTAAAATAGCTTTAAAAAAATTGAAAAAATAAACAATTAAAACAGCTCTGATTTCGCCTCCTATTTAACAAGTTGATTGAAATAGCAATCTGACCTGTGCAAAGTGTGACAACTGGATACTACACAAACACACACATAATATTTTAAAAAAATCCAAACAAACCAAACCTGAAGACAGTAAAGGTACTTACCTTTTTGTCGGGTTTTGGTGAATTACATATGGAATTTAGAGCCTGTTTCTTATACTCAAGCTTGTCATTTAGCTGGCGAAGTTTATTAACAGCATAACTGGCCTGTTCATTAATTCTTGTGCTGCATTCTTCAGTAGCTTCTTCACAACCTTGGCTCTAGAAAAAGAGAATGGGGGTAATTGCAACATTAATATAAAAAAAAGAGACAGTTATTCATAGAATGATAGAATGTATGGGCTAGAAGGGACCTTAAAGGTCACCTAGTTCCAATCCCCCTGCCATGGGCATGGACACTTTCCACTAGACGAGGAAAGCTCAGAGCCCCATTCAGGTTGGCCTTGAACACTTCCATGGATGGGGCAGGGATGGGTTATTATTTGCTTGTTAAGCATTTTATGTGTAAGAACACTTCTTGATGTAGACAAAAATGTATGTATAACAGATATTCCAACCACTGGATCCAACATGAAACATCAGTCTGTTATAAAAAACCAAACCAAATCCCCAAAACCCCAACAGACAAAGCCTCATTACCATTCCTACTACAGTTCTTTGGCAACTCTTGCCAACTGTGTAAAATGACCTTCAAGCTAAGGCTTTAGTGTAAGTGAGAGGTAGAATTAAAGTTTATTTTAAAAGCAACAACAGCTTAATAGTCATGATCAATATTCAGAGCCAGATAGAAAAGCAAATACTTAGCTCTGAGCTGAAGGATAATGAGATGGGGCAGTGAGGAACAAAACCAAAAAAAACCCCACAGTTCTAACAACATTCCTCCCACAAATCTTCACAAAACAGATCTGTCATCCTGCAGAACAATTTAAACCAAGTCCTTTTGCTTCATAAACAGATTTTAATGCTATTTTTAGAAGTGCTAATAAAAATGTGTTAAAAGCCCATATGCCTTACCCTAAACTCATAAATCATTACCATATATTCATTCAGACAAACCAATAGCTTTCTCTGTCTTGTGTACTACGGGCATGCAAAAGATAGAAAACTTCACATCTTTATGTGACATTCTCTTTAATATCTTTTGGCATTTGCCTCAGTCTCACCTTCTTACTGTACATCCCCAAATAGGCAATGAGGACCTTGAGATACAGCAAACACAGCATTCAGCTTTTATTCTTGCCACATTCAAAGATCATTGAGGTCTTTTTGTGACTGGATATATCTAAATTTATCTTTAGGAAGCTGAGTTTAATCTCATGAACAGGAGCTCCATGTTCTTTAATGAAACTCCCACTAAGTAAGCTGTATGTTTATATAATTAACAAAAAGCTAGCAGAACGAAGTCTCATCTCTACTAAATTATTAAGTTTTAGAGGAGACAATTCTACTGTAAATTCCACTGTATTTTACATCTTAGTAAAAAAAGTCTGAAGAGATACAGTAGCAACAATAATAACTGCCTTAGTGTGATCCTCATAGGAGAGGGTAACATAATGCAGAAATCAGTTCTAGGCTAAAAAATCCATGCCCTTTCCCAGCCCTGCATTTGCCTGCTATGTGGCTGAGTAATAAACATTAGCTCTATGCCCTATCTTTTCTTCTGTCTATTCTGCATGGACTGTAAACTCCTCAGGTCAGAGATTGCCTCCAAGCACATGTACAGACTTCAGCTCATGGAAACCTGTTGTCATCTCCCGGAACTACAGTACTACAAATAATAATAATTAACAATATTGGCTGTTATTCAAAATGGCTTTCTTTCTAAGAGTGATGCAGAACATAGACTTCAGTCTTATTTTAGCAATGCAGCACCAATGCAACCCCCACACCCTCTTTCCTCAAAGTGCTGAATGCAAGCACTGCTTGCTTCTGTATTTCTACTCGTGACCTTCTAAAGGAGGTTTGTCCAGGAAACAGAAAGTGGTAACAGACTGGAAAGAAGAAGAAAGAGCTTGTTCCACTTGCAGCAGAACGCGCAGTCTGGCCTTGTCCTGATTCCTATCTTGTAACTTGATTTTCTCACATTTAATCAAGGCTCATCCTTTTGTCCTCACCTCCATGAGTGCACTAGATGACTTTTTACCTATCCAGCTATAGCAGTGAAATATATAGAAAATTAAGAAAGGTAACTCCCATAGTGCCCCAAGAAGTAGGGATGTAGACCCAAAACCCAAACTAAGCCAAAACCAATCACTACTTGCTAACAATATGTATCCCTCCAGAAACATCTGATTTCTGAGCTGTTGTTTCATATACATGGGGAGGGAAAAAATCCCAAAAATGTATTATACAGTACTGCATTTTTGCCAACATTTGAAAGACCAATGGAAGCTTCAGAGAGAATTTCTTATAATTTTTTTTCACCTCAAAGACCCTGAAGCATGGCACAGTGCCATTAGAACTGCTCTATTCAAGAGATACGCTATCAGTATACACAACTTCACACTTAATTAGTTGTTAAAAATTAAAAAAAAAATACCTCAGCTTTAATCCTATAAGGAGACTTGGCAATATATCAGTCTTTAAGATTTCAGGGCAGACACAGACTTCAAATCTGCCACATACACATCCAAGGACTCGGAGGAAGGACAGATGATACTGATGTCAAAAATCTAATTTTTTGGCAGCTACAGTAGATATTATCTGACAGAGATCAGCTAGCCCTAAAGTGTTGTCAGTTTTCTTAGAGAAATGGCTATCTGTGTCAGAGTCTGAATAAAGCATATGAAGAGATTAAAAAGCATAAAATTTAATGTTTTAGAAAGTACTGGACAAAACTGGTAAAGACACACAGTCTTTGAAGTACCTACCACCCTCAACACATAGCTGAGTTAGCAGTGAGAAAACTAGAAAACATGTCTTGGAATATTCCATCAAGGGAAAGAATACAGGGAAAAACAAACAATGACAAGATTCAGCAAGCTCTAAAAGCACATATTGGAAGTAATTTACTTATAACAGCTCATCTCTGCAGATTTGTTGATATGCAGAATACAGAGACTCTAATAACTCACCTACAGAAATGAAAGCCATATTTAAGCAGTAAATACAAAAGTCTTATGTTCTGGAAAAATTGTTTCTAAAGGGCAGAATGTAGATCACCACTTCTGGATTCTGCTTATTTGTTTATTTAGATCCAGTTTTAGACAAACTGTTACATTTCATTGTGTTCTGAGAAAGTTCATAAGTAAAATGAAGATATCCATGCTGGTCTGAAGCAGCAGCCTGACTGAAAGATGCACTCACTAGTCTGAGACTTGCTCCTGTCAAAATGTTCTTAGATAATTGCAACACAAGTTCCCCTGACAGGACTGATTTACACAACCCACGGAAAAAACCCACCCCAAGAAGAGTTGCCATTGGATTATTGCTTGTGACATTTTGAATGCTCTGGTTTAGTACTTAAGAGTTCATGTGCTAGATTTATCTTCTAAAATGGCCTATCAATTTATTTTCAACTAATTAATAAAAACCACACTGAGATTATATTTTTCATTCCTTTTTCTTCTCTTTTGTGCAACTTTAATACCTACTTAGTATCTAGGAAATGTCTGAGAGACCAGCACAGACAACATCTGGGCAGAAACCTACTGATGTTTCAGTGAAATTTTCTTCACTGAAAAGCAGACCAGCTGAGTTTCTATGAGGTATGTTACTAAGGAGCATAATGAAAGACGTGAAATACAGAAGGCTTGGAAATCTGAAATACCTACCTTAACTAATTTTAAGTTTAGGTGGTCAGTCATTTTTACCATTTTGTTTCAAAGAGCTTGTAAATATCCAAGTGTTAACAGATGAAACTATAAGAGCGAAGACACTTATATCAGGAAAAAAGAAGAGCAGTCCAAAGCTCAAGGACAGAAGAGGCTACTATATGATTTTCTCAGGATTATCTCTCAGATCAGCTTAAACAAAAGTGAAAGGAATTGTTTGCGTGACTCACCACTTCATCTTTGTCCTCAGGAGTCAGCTGAGCAGAACTTCTTTCTTCTTCCTTCTTGACTGATCTCTCATATAAATCACTGACAATGAATGAGGGGTAGTATCTGTCCTTTAGAGTTTCGTAAACATCTGCCTGAATTCTGTAGAATACTTCAATGCCTTTATTTCCCACAAGACTTTGCTGTATTTCTTTATAAAGGGATTTTTCCACAGGTATTTCTCTGCTTTCCACAAAAAAATTCTGATAAATTTCACTCACCAGCTGAGGTATTTCAGACTAGGAAGCAAGCAGGGAGAGGGAGGGAGAAAAGAATAATGAAAACATGTTAAAAATATCAGGATGACTCAGGATCCAGGTGCATAATTTGAAGGATAATCAAGCTAATTTCCTATCCAGATGATAAGAACACATCTGTGGACCTCTTACTGAGAACAAGCATGCTGTCTGCCTGTGCACCTATGCTAAGCAGTCAATTTTACAAGCTAAGTATTTATATTTGTCAGGACAAAAACCAGCTGTGCTCTAAAATTGTCATAGCTTCCCCACCCACTGCTTTTAAAAGTATGCTCCAAAAGCTGGTATCAAAAGGAAGAAAAGTGCTAGAGCAACATTGTGGTCACCACTTTATGTTTAGATTGTAAAGCTCAGCTGTATCAGCTCTATCTTCTGCTGAATAGGATCAACTCACTTTATATGTGATCATAATTAATTTCAGAGACAAAAGGGAAAAAAAAAAAAGAAAAAGAAAAGAAAAAAGCACAACTGAAGAGATATTTACCAGTACAAGCGGCTGGGTATTTTCACAGAGCATAGGATTGAACTTTGCATTAATGAACAGGAAAGAGGAAGTAATGCAGCACAGCCCATGATCAGATCTCTAAATCGTCGTCTCCCTAAACTGATCTGAACTAAAAAGGCTTTATCCACTCCCTCAGTAAAGCACAATGTTCTTGCCTGCTTCGTCTGACAATATCACAGCCACCTGGCTGAAAGGTCATAAAATGATTTATAGCATCTTTTTCCAATCACAAGCAGTTTGTAAATCAAAACTGATTTATAGAACTCTCTTCACAGTGCCTGACAAACCATTTTTATGAACACTCTCTAGCTTGAGTTGGTTGTTAGTCATTTCTTCAGATTGTATCAATGGGTCACACTCCTCACATTCAACAGTTTGCCACTTTGTTTTCAGGATGTTATTTTCCAATTGACTAGAAACTTAATACATAAGAGGGCAGTAAAATTACAGTGAATAAAAAGATACCTGATATCGATAATGAAATTCGTATTTCATGCTAGTGTGAATCCTGAAGGTTTAATAGTCTCCCCCAAAAATCCACCTCACTGCTCACAAACTGCAAATTTGTCCTCTACTCTTGCTATACAGCATTGGCTAAGAATACTTCTTGCAACTTTAACTGGTATTTCCTATCCTTGTTTCATGGTTCTTATTCCTACTTTATTTTAGCACAAATTACAATATAGTAGTGTTTCTTCCCTCTAAGAATAGTGTGGGATTCCTGGAGAAACTTACCTGCTTATATAAGCAACAGAATATGGAGAGGTCTTTTAAAGCAAAACCTCTCTTCCAGAAGGATTTTAAAAACATATATACACATGTTTACACTGTTTTGGATTGAATGGGCTACCTGCAATTAGCAAGATGAGAAGCTTATGTACAGACTATCCAATGGGAATGCACTTCTAGGTTTCACGTGAGCTGATACAACTAAAGCCAATATATTACTGCAAGTTTACTTTCTGGTGGAGGGGGAAATAATTGTACTACTTTTACATATAAAGTGTCCCTTTTATGGGATGTTGCTACACTAAACAACAGTAAATCATCATCACAACAGCCCACAAATTTTAATTGCAATATTATCTTCTAATATTGACATGAAGTAGTTAAAAAAAACCCAAATTGCTTAGCATCCATGCTATGTTATTGATATTTTAAGAAGTTCAAGAAATTTCCTAACATCAAGATCACAACAAGCAGAGATTGCTGTCAATGTACAAAGCCATATAGGCTTGCAATTTCTCCCACCTTGTTAGCACTCTTCAGATTCTCCACAGACTCCCAAAGACCGATCAAAGCCGCCTTGTCCATCCTTTCCATATAGATTCGGAAGTGCTCTCGGTATGACGGGTTGGCCAAAATTTCTTCAAACTGAAGAATCTGAGGAAGGAAAAACTAAGAATAAAAACCGGGAAAATGCCTAACTCTAGCTTCTCTCCATCCCTTATAGGGAAAATCTTTTCACTTGATGTGCCCATGGAGCACTATGAATTCCACAAACAAACATGTAATAGATTGAACTACAAAGACTTTCTACGGTAATAGTTTTGCTTCATTAAAAAAAAAAAAAAGAAGTTAAGTACTTAGAAGATAAATGCATCTATGCTCCTATCAGATAGTAAATATTTCCACATCTTTGTGACCAGAAAACAAGACTACATTCCAAAGGACTAAGATGGCATTTCAAGTCACTCATTAAATGCTATCGTCAAAAATTTAACTTCCAATGTTCCTGCAAAGCAGAGGAGCCAAGCTGGAAGCAAACTGATCTGTTCTTTACTTCTTCCAAGCAAAGAGTAACACCACAGGCCACAGAACTTTGAGATGTATCTCAATTATTACCAGGGACACAGAGAAAGATGGAATACCTTGGCAGCCAGGGCATTTGCTGGCCAGTTCCCACTGTTATTGAAAAACATCTATCAGAAATGCAGCCAGGAAAGAGTATGTTCTGTGATAAAATGCTCAGGACTTCTCCTGAGAAGAGAGACAAGGGTGTACATCAGGCAGAACAGGAAATGAAACACTTCCCAAACCCAAGCAGATGCTGCAGCCATTAAGATGTTGCATTAAAAGGCCATTATCACTTCCTTATCCTCTACTATTTTTGTGAATCCGAGTCTTTTTTTTTTTAAAGACAAATACCCAAAAAAACCCCTGAGAAAATGAACAGAACTTCCCATGATGAACAAAATGAACAACCTTGTCTTTCTTTGCAAAATAGGACCAATTTTCAAAACACCTGATCAAAACCAAACACCCCTTCCTCTCCAGCTTTTCAGTCTTGCAGCTGAACCAGTTTTCATGTCTCTCATTTAGTGCCATTACTTATATTGCCAGGAATCCAAATACACCAACCAGAGTGGTTTTGGTCTCTTGCTTTCTTAGTCAATGGCACCAACCAACTCACACCTTTTTCTTTGAAATGAAAAGCAGGTCCTTAAGCACTGGGGCCCATGAGTCTTATCTTCCTATGAATTTGCATTTTATAGTAAAGTTCATTGGTATGGAGCAAGATATGAACTCTGAGACTGAGGCATTAATAATTTCTCTAATATGGGTTTTCTGATACCTTAATAATAATACAATTCAGGTCATGTATCAGCATCTCTTTATTTTTGGGAAGACAACTAATTTTTCTAAAACTAATACCTGTGAGACTCTAATGCCAAGTTACATGTAGGAAAAACAGTTTCCTGGTCTCAAACTCTATGAGTGGAAACTACATACATGGGCACACACTCAATTACTAGCACAAGTTACTTCCTCAATGAACCAAGTTAAGGTGGTTCTTTAACAACTGCAGCCACTTATGTTTTGTCTGAAATAGCTCCCCCCAAATTATAGGCAGTGTTTAAGTAAATTATATTTGTCTCAGCTGAAATGCTCATTTTCATCTTCAAAGTCCATGTGCCATTCTTCTCTTCATCCTTTACCATACCAATATCTCCTGGACATGACTTACTCAGGTATATGAACATCTGCCTTTCAGAGCTCACTCTATAATCCTCACTGAATGACAGAGTGCCTTGCTTAAGCCAGGCTTAATACAGAAATGATGATCAGGCTGTCAAAGAGAACAACACAGAGATGACAATTTAAAGGCCAATCTGTGGTTTAGCATTGCTGTGTGTCATCATACTTTCTATGCAATCATTTTACCAAGGACAGTGATTTAAAATACAAGTGGGAGAGGATCTTCCAGCCTCTTGAACAGATGTCTACATCTCAGGGACTGTCACCTCTGTAAATAATAGCTGAGGTAATACATCACAACAGGGAGCATGTGGTGTCACTTCTTGAGTGAGAGGTCACCTTGGTCTCTACGCCTCTATTATCCAAGGTATCCCCACTCAGACTGCCAGCAAGGAGGGTGACTAACAAACCTCCCCTCTCAAAGGTAACTGGGGTTAAGTGCTGCTGCAGGGAGCAAGGCAAGTGCAAACATCTCTCTTGCCTAGAAAGGGCCCATTGCACCAGTGTCCCAGGGTAATCAAAGTGGTGGTACCTAATAACAGTTTTACACAAATCTCCTAATAGTTACCTAGCAAACTAAAACACTTTAAAAGCTAAATTAGTGGGCAGAAAAGCCTATTTAAATTTTTTTCACAGAAATGAGACCTCATAAATATTTTCTTGGTTTTTCTTTGTTTAACGCTAGACTATCCTGGAATTATTTAATATGTTTCAAATGCTGTTCTAAAAACATTACATTAAAGCTTCGATGACAACAATGGTAGACACAAGAGGTTTTTAGTTTTGAGGTAGAAAGTTATCATAAAATGCATGTGTGCTGGTTTTGGCTAGGAGGAGTTAATTTTTTTCCCAGTGGATGATATGGGGCTATGTTTTGTATTTGTGCTGAACACAGGGTTGACAATATAGAGATGATTCTGTTATTGCTGAGCAAGGCTTACACAGAGCCAAGGCCTTTTCTGCTTTTCATACTGCCACGCTGGCAAGGAAGTTGGGGGTGCATGGGTGGTTGGGAGGAGACACAGCTAGGACAGCTGACCCAAACTGACCGAAGGGATATTCCAGACCACAGAACATCATGCTCAGCATATAAAGCGGAAGGAAGGAGGAGGAGATGTTTGGAATGATGATGTTTATCTTCCCAAGTAACCATGACATGTGATGGGGCCCTGCTCTCCTGGAGACGGCTGAACACCTGCCATCCCATGGGAAGGAGTGAATTAATTCCTTGTTTTGTTTTGCTTGTGTACATGGCTTTTGCTTTCCCTATTAAACTGTCTTTATCTCAATCCATGAGTTTTCCAGCTTTTACCCTTCTGATTCTCTCCCCAGTCCTGCAGGTGGGGGAGAGTGAGAGTGTGGCTGCATGGGGCTTTGTCAATGGCTGGAGGTTAAACCATGACAGTCTTTTTTGGCACCCAACCATTCTGTGGAGGATCCTTCCATTTAAAGAAAGAGGTTCTGCAGTAAGTTGTAATCCTGAGCAAAAGATCATTTTATAACTCAGTATCACTACAGATTAGAGTACAAAGCTCTAAGCTATGCTGGCACATCTGCGGGCATTAGGGCACATGTACACACCCTCAAATCTAATATCCAGTTAGCAGATATAATCTTAGAATTATTAGCCTCAACAGCAACCCTGCAAATCCTTTTAACTCTAGAGCCGCTTCTGGGTTTGGAAAAACCAGCTGCTTTACTGCTGCCACATCAATTCCCTGCTCCAACAGGAAAGTAACTAATATACCACAGCTGGTCACAGGCTCTGCCTAAGACTAGGAAGGCTTTAGTTTTTTTATTTTTTTCCCCAAGCAGGCTGCTTTAACCAGCATCCCTATCATACGCACACAGAAGAGCCTTGTTCCTGGCCCTACAAAGCAGAGACTTGGTTCTGGCAGGCCCCTGAAGATAGATATAACCTCTCTCTGTAGAGGAACATAGAACAACTAGCTAATTTGGAAGGGTCTGCATGGCCACCCCACATGGAATAGATGCACTGTGCTATATTTCTTTGCAACACACCAGCTTCCAATTCACTACAACCACATTGGCCTATAATGAATAAACATCTGATAACAGCACTGCAGATGGTTGGGATGAACAGAATTTGGGTCACTAGGGGAGATTTTCTGATGGGATGATGGCACACAGACAGACTGCAGGACTTCTGGTTGCTGCTTTGGATTTTTTGGTTTTTGGTAGAAGACAAGAACAAGTGGAATGTAAAGAATAATTCTGGAAAAATACGTCTGTCTTTCCAAGTTGCATTAACTAATGCTTTGTCTGTATACTGACTAAAATTACAGCCTATGTTCATCTTGTTATGTTTTAAAAAGAGGTAAGTCGTCAGGAGACTGTCACATAAAGCAGTAGCTGAACTAAATGTAATAATTAGTTACATATCAGCAACTACATACTAACTACATAAGCTACCTAGCTATTTTACTGCACATACACTAATGTAAAAATCCCTGCCTTGAGACTCACATGTTCAGGAACATACTTCTGTCATAAGAAACCCCATCTTCAGGCAATAGGGGAACAACAATTGAAGCTTGTTTTCTTAATATTCCCAAATTCTGTAACATGATATATCCTGACATAACATGATCTTGCAACCTGAAGCTCGGAAATCACAGAGAAAATCTGGTAAGTCATCAGTTAAATCAACACCTATCCACAGACGAACGGAAGCAAGTTCTGCAGGAGTTTCATCTTAGTCCTCATCACTGGATTATGGACACGAACTGGTTCCACCTCAAAATACACTCAGATGGTTTCCTTGCTATTTCACAAGTAGTTAAGCATCAGATCCCCAGATCTCCTCCTACAATTCATGATTCACAAAACAGCTCCACTAAAAAGATGCTGTGACTCCATATGTCAAATTTCAAGGTGGTGTGGCTGTTGTACTGAACACGGTGTGTGGGGGGGAATCGCTGAATGAACACAGACAACAAGAACTCAATTACTGAAGTACTGTGCAGGCACAGTTTCTAAGAAAATGGACTGAAACTGCACTGACCATTAAGAAGAGATGCTTCATATACTACGCTAATTCGAACTGCATTTTCTCCGAAAACAAATCTAACATCATGGGCAGAGTACAAATCAGTATCAGAGCTAATGACAGAATTCAGATTCTGAGAGTAGCTGTGGTTTATCTGTTGTTTCTTTGCTTATAAGCATTTGATTATAATTCACATATTCAGGATTTCCCTAGAGAACCTGGATTCAGGAAAATGAGGTGAATGAAATGTGTACTAAGTCAAATGAATAAAAATCACAACACTGCATAATCAAACCAGAAACTGACACTGTTTTATAATTATCTTCTGCTGTGAAAGAAAAAAAAATGTATTTCAAAGCACATAAATTCTGTTTCTTATATCTGTAAGAGGAGAACATTGTAGGACGCATAGCTGAAATCAAAATACAAGTTTAGTTCACTAGTCAGTTCTTTGTTCAACTAGTATCAAAAATTCCACAGAGTTTATAATGTATTCAAGCTTCTGTACCACACTTACATAAAATATTAATTCAAAACACCACCAGTAAATGGCCATTTCTGACCTTTTTCATGCAAGTTGAAGAAAAGAAAGCAAACTTACAGTTTCTTCTGCACAGACTAGTTATTCTACACGTTAGATGCTACCTTAACAGAAAAGCTGACACAAAAATCTCTAAGGAGAAATTTATGGGCCACTAGCAGCAACATACCAACATTATCTTATCTACTAAATCCCAAACAATGCCTTTCCCTTTTGCCTAGAAAAAAGCTTGAATGTTCAGTCAATACTGCCCATATAGGAGGGGCCAACATTCAAAATAACACTGGCTGCCTTGAAATGAGAATCCAGACTGCAGCTGCCTCAGTGCTAAAAGAGGATGGGAAGAAGCAACAGTAAAGAGAGACTGCTTCCTCAGCTAAGCCTTGGGCATTTTTCTGTGCTCAGAAGGGGACAGCATAGCCTCTCTCATCTGGCCTTCATTCAACCTCCCTCAGCTTCTTTCATGGCAACTGAGAGTTGGGGACAACAGAAGAGAGAAGCAGTTTTCCTATTTTCTAAACTGACATGGCTATGGAGGGGGTTCTAGGGTTTCATCACAGAAACACATCAAAAGCTTAGAAGCAGAGCTGCCTCAGATCCTGTTGTTTCCACCATCACTACAACAAATGCCTGTGCAAGGAGTCTTTATTTCTATTAACAGTACCATTAACTCAGTATGGAGCTGCTCATTGGTGTATTGGCAAGATATAATCCCAGGTCAGCAAGTGCCACTAAAAAACTATTGGTTTATAAAACATGCAACATGAACTTCATTAATTCCTTTGATTTTAATTATAATAATATATTTTATTATACTTCTGGCCAATCCCTACCCCTATCCAGTGCAGCTTCACTACTGGACTCCATTCCTGAACAAAGTTCATAACATCTCAGCAGGCACCAAAAGTGGCATCAGTGGCTCATGCAGAGCTGCCACATGCTTCCCTCTTTCCTTTTCTCCTTGGCACCTCTTGCTAGGCCCAACTTCAGGAAAGAGATCAGGACTGCCTTGGCACAATCTAAGACAGACCATCTGAAATCATGCTTTAAGAACAAGTGAGGAGTAGGGAATTGTTCTGTTTCAGAATCTTGCTCAAGAAAAACAAAATATAAATAGTAAGAACTATTTCTTCATCATACTACTTTTTCTTATATGCTACTATTAACATGTAACACTACATGTTACAATTATTATAAGGACATAACAAAAGCTAAAGATCCCTGCACGAAGAGAGAAGTTATCATCTACCTAAATGAAAAACATAAAATCTTCTTTCACATTTGAATATGCCAGCTTCTGTGCTTTGGTCAAAGGGGACAGAGAAGATTACACAAAGTCAACACTAAAATTATTAAAGTTTTGCAAGACTAAGTAGTCGTGATTTTATTTTTGTAGATGCTGACTAGTACAACAGTGGTTTTTTTCTAATTCCAGACTATAGTGATATTGAAAACCAGCATTCAGTCAGCAGCTTTACCAGAGTTTTTCTGCAACAACTACCCTGAATTTTGTCAGTTGCCTTCCATAATTGTTAGCTTTTGAATAATTTAGTATTTCCAAAAACCACAGGTATTTCCTAAAGTGAATACAATGAGGGCCAAAGAAATACTGCACATATGTTGGCAAACTTTTACTTGAAAGCAAGTTGTTACTTTCAGGAAGGCTGTTACCATGTCCTTATTAACTCTCTGTATGCAGTATATCTGAAAAATCACAGATGCTTACAATCCACTCAGTCCTTTATGAAGTTTCACATTTAGCTACATTCCAAGCTGAGAGATCAGTAAGTCTTTTTGGGTACTTCAGCAATCTTTTCCCAAGATAAATAAACTATGCAGCAATTAATTTGTGCTTGACTCCTGGGGGAAGGGTGGGATTAAAGACAGTGAGGTAATATGAGCCAGTGCTAACGCATTTAGAATAACCTTCAGACAATGCGATTTATACCTTCTGACTCTGAGGGCCATCACCTTCATCAGAAATGCCATCTTCCTGCTGATCATAAGCAGGCCCTCCCAGGAGCCTTATTCTCTTCTCACATTGCTTCTTTGCCACCGTCAGCTGATTGATATACCTCTTCACATTGCGAGCCCTTAGTAGGTCAGCTTTCATTGCTGCAGTTTCTTTTCCCTTTGAATCTAAGAATAAAGCAAATCAGAGACAGTATTTTACAACATGAAAACATCATTGTACCATTGCCTCTGTGGCCTGTCTGATCAAAGCATCTGTCTTTCAGGAATCAACTATGCACATGAGTACAGATACTGGCAAGTTTGTATTTGAAACAGAATGATGATTTTGAAACATTCTCCAATGATAACTCAAGGGTTTATACAAAATTGTTCAGAAAAAATCCTTATTCCAGCACACAGAGAAACCTGACCTCTCCAGTTCTCTTTCTATAACTTGTTGGAAAACACAGGCACAAGACCTCTACTACAGAATGTACATGGTATTAGGAATTCCCTATAGCCATGGCATATGATAACACAGGGAGATGATGGCTTATGTACCTTACTGAACATAGCACTGACTGCCTAAACTCATGAGGGACTGAGCTCTATTCCCTCTAGCCCAGCATGACACATTCCCACACATCTTATTTGCAAATCCAAATTTCTTGAGCCGGACCTCCTCCAGATAACACTGATCAAAGTTCACTCAAATGACTAAGAAAAAATCTTATGATGTCACAATGTTAAGACTGCACAGTACTGTTAGAAAGTGAAGTAACATGAAGATGATAACTGAATTAGACTTAGTAATAACCGGTGTAATATTTGTGTATTCTACATTCCAGCCTCTTCAGCTAATTACCAGGGTCTAAAAAAAGAAGCAGCAGATAAAGCAGATATAAAACCCTATTGTGTTGAAATCAGGATACAACTGATTCACATTTATAGACTGATTTTATTTTCCTCTTGTTCAATGAAAACACTCCTGTTTTTTTGGGCTGCAACTATTGCTCGGCAGCAAAGTACATGACTTGTACTTGGCTCTGGATTAATTGATTGCTCAGGGATAAACAGTAAAGATCTATTCTACTATGTTTTCAAAATATCAAATGCTAGTAAAATCATTTATATGAAAGCAGCATTCAATTCTCAAAACAGTTGCTGTTAAGAAACAACCACATGGGTTTGTGAATGCATACACAGCAAAAAGGAAGTCTCTCAGAAATTATTTAAAATATATATTTTAAACACATTTCTAATACATTAGAGTACCTTCTCCTTTTAGGACTGTTTCCATTCTTTTTTTTTCCCCCTCAAAGCCACATGTAACCACCACATGCAACCGTAAGTTTTGTCATTTGCATACTTAAGGACAACTCAAGGTACATGGAGCTCCCTGAAGCTCTACATGTAATATAAGTCCAGATATTCTCCCATTATCTTTTCCCATACTTTCAAGTTCACTTTATTTGCTGCGTGTATCTATCTATCTTGGTAAGGATCCTTCCCAATTCAAATACTGTTAGTGTTTTAATGGATAAGCATCATTTGCACACGAGCTGCCATATAATAATGAACTACAGAGATAATACTCACTGAAGCAAATGATAAAATTACTTTACTATGAAAAAAAAAAAAAAAGCCATCTGTTTTCCTGGTATGTTATCTCCACAGGGAAGTCAACAGAGCATTTAATTTAGTGTTTCAGTTCCCTGACCAGAGGTACCAATATTAATGAGAGAAAAGAAAAGGAAAAGATCTTAGGACAAAAGAATGCTCTCCCTCAATTAAAAACATTTACAGCTATTACAAATACATCAACAGTAGTTTAAAGTGAAGATTAAACCCCAACATTTCCCTCCTGCACTTGACACGAAGATGATTTTTAGAAGTTCTCAATTCTTTCAATAGCTTAAATACTTTGGGCTCAAAATGCATACTTGAAATCCCACACTTTCAAAAACCCACAAACAGAACTATGCAATGATCATTCAGCCTTCTTAAAACAATAAGTACCCTTCCTGGTGAAAACAAGGCATTCTTGGAGGGTTCTCAATGTAAGCATGTCTACTTTACCTGAAGTCTTATCATCCTGTGATTGCAGCAGGCATCCAGGAGAGATTAATGATCCCTACATCCCACCTGCTTCCGATGATTAATTACTGTATTAACAAAGACCCTTCAAAAACATTTACCTCAGCTCTTCATATCCATAAGGAGCCACTCCACCTAAGAAACGCTCAGGGCAGGGATGAATATCATGCTGCCAGCCTGTTCCTGATCCATGGATAAACAGGGCTTTACAGTCATTGTAAAGCCTGGCAGCGACATCTCTCACAAATAAACAAGAGCCTGATGAGGAGCAGCCCATCATGGAATGTGGCCAACATGTTACAGTGCAGGAAAGACAGCGCGGAAGCGTGCACGAACACTGTACATTACTTCCCTCTTCCACATCATGAAATATAATCTAACAGAAATCTGGAGGAGCATTTTTAGCTCAACTGAGGAAGGTTAGGTGGATCACTAGTTTTCTTCAAACCCTAATCTGCTTTTGAGATTTTGAGGTGGCAGTAATGTAATTCTGAGCATGGGAGTCAGTATGTACTATACAGTAAAACAACATCCACCACATATAGCCTCTGTCTGTAAATCCTTGCATCCCCTTTGGTCACATGTATCAGCATTCCCTCCCTCTTCCATTGATGAGCACCTCTCCAAACCAACCGTGGACAAGATGCATTACCCTCAGTAGCACACACAAAGAATCTCAGGAGCCGAAAGAAAAATTTCCTCTATAAAATTGATTTGAAGGTCACAAATCAAAACAAACAAATCTACCACAATTAGAATCTGTAACCTTTACCTTCATCCACATGGATTCCCTCCACACTAACTGCTTGAGCATGAGCTCTTTAAGCCTTGCCAGAAAGCTATACAAAACTAATTGCATATGTATGTTTAACCGTGTGTGGTGGATGCAGCTGGGGGGAGGAATCATAATAGTCTTGACACAGTTAAGTTAGATGGCATCTGTAATCCACTGGAACACACAAGTATCCGTTTCATTTCACTCTAAATTATCATCTTGACAAAACCCACACATCACAACCCACACACCCAAGTTAGCCTGGAGCCCCAGTTTCTAAAAAAAAGTCTCTTTTTACAGCTGAACATTCAAGCCTCTTTCAGAACCACAGTACCTGAGAGGCCTAACCAGGCAGTTCTGGTTCTGTGCTACTTGTCAGCTTTGTTTATAAAAGCAAATATCCAGACACACAGTGGGAAGGCTTATCAGGAGAAATCTACTGCAACGCAGCAGATCTCTATAGAGAAATGGCTGCTTATTTGATCTGTCTCACAATCCCTGCTTGAAAAGGAGCAGTTTTCTCAACAGGGATGCCCTGGGGTTGATTACACTGTGGTGTCTGAAAAACAGTCCCATTCAGTCATCCAAGGGTGTTTTCCAGTCATGCCGTGAAGTCACATGTAAGGCAGAGGGCACAAAAAATTAAGCGTCAAATCAAACAAATCCCTTTACAAAAATGCCTTGAAAAAAAAAAGAAAATCTGTTGAGAGCTGTGCTCTGTGCTGTCCTAAGACAAGGTATGTGACTTCATGGGGTTTTGGCTTTGTTTTAATAGCAACTAGTAATAAGAAATCCTTACTAAAATTCTTGTAGGATCCTGTAACACGATATCAGTATGAGAAGAAACAAAAATGTTTTAAAATTAGAACTAGTGTATTTAAACAGCTTCTTATTCATATTACAGCAAATATCAAGTTGTTGTAGTAATTTACTTTTGTTGCTATTTCATGATTGGTATGTTTGAAACATTTTCTTCACAAAAATTAAAATTTACTCTTGCTTCTAGAAACTCACATCCTCTGTCATTCATAGTACAATGCCCAATCCATGTATTTGTCTTCTTACAAACCACTTTAATAGATCAAAATGCAGTTAACATTTTCAGATAAGCATTTCTAGCCCTTCAAAATCTTTAGCAGATAAATTTTGTAGAAAAACAAATAAATAAACAAAAAACAAACAAACCAACCACCAAAAAAACCCACAAAAAACCCCAAAACAAAACAAAATAAAAACCAAAACCAAACAAACCAAAACTGAAATACCTAAAATCTAGCTTCAGTACTTTGAAGGAATCCTTATCATAACATAAGAAGAGGAGAGAGTTTTATAGTTAAAGATGTAGAAAGATGTGATTCTTCCATAGCACATGTGACTGTATAGAAGGGTACTGTCTGAAAATATCAATAGGAAGAAAAATTAAAAAAAAATAAAAACAAAAAAAACCCCAAAAAACCAAAACAAAACCAAACCAAAACAAAACCAAAACCAAAACAAAACAAAAACCAAAACCAAACCAAAACAAAAACAAACAAAACAAAAACAAAACAAAACCAAAAACAAACAAAAAACAAAACAACAAAAACCAAAAACAACCAAAAACAACCAAAAACAACCAAAAACAACCAAAAACAACCAAAAACAACCAAAAACAACCAAAAACAACCAAAAACAACCAAAAACAACCAAAAACAACCACAAAACAACCACAAAACAACCACAAAACAACCACAAAACAAACACAAAACAAACACAAAACAAACACAAAACAAACACAAAACAAACACAAAACAAACACAAAACAAACACAAAACAAACACAAAACAAACACAACAAAAACAACAAAAACCAAAAACAAAACCAGAACAAAACCAAAAAATAAAACAAAACCAAAAAAACAAAACAAAACCAAACCAAAACAAAACCAAAACAAAACCAAAAACCGAAACAAAAACAAAAACAAAAACGAAACAAAAACAAAAACAAAAAACCAAAACAAAACCAAAACAAAACCAAAACAAAACCAAAACAAAACCAAAACAAAACCAAAACAAAACCAAAACAAAACCAAAACAAAACCAAAACAAAACCAAAACAAAAACAAAAACACAAAACACAAAACAAAACCACAAAACAAAACAACAAAAACAAAATAAAAAACAAAACCAAACCAAAACAAAACCAGAACAAAACAAAAAACCCAAAAACCAAACAAAAACCAAACAAAAACCAAACAAAAACCAAACAAAAACCAAACAAAAACCAAACAAAAACCAAACAAAAACCAAACAAAAACCAAACAAAAACCAAACAAAAACCAAACAAAAACCAAACAAAAACCAAACAAAAACCAAACAAAAACCAAATAAAAACCAAACAAAAACCAAACAAAAACCAAACAAAAACCAAAACCAAAACAAAAAACAAAACAAAAAACAAAACAAAAAACAAAACAAAAAACAAAACAAAAAACAAAACAAAAAACAAAACAAAAACAAAACAAAAAAAACAAAACAAAAAAAAACAAAACAAAAAAACCCAGAGCTACCACCAAAACCAAGCCTTCTAGCCTTCTCCTACAGTCACTGCTTTAGTGATTGTGTTCATTTTGGAAAAATATACATAGGAAGACACAGTTGGAGAAGTAAGGCAAAAACACAGATACACCAGATTCTGTGCTTTTGTACCAGTGTAAATGAAGAAAGCAGTGCAGTGTCAGCATGCAAGCTTCCATTTACAGTGGCCTGCACTGCACCAAAAAACCTATAACATGCCATTTTTTAACTACGAAGGGTTTAATACAATGATGTTTAGAAGTACTTTAAAGTACTTTCTGATTTTATTAGAGGGCCCTAACAGCTAATTATTTTGCCAATAGGTGGCACCAGCACTAGTTAAATCAAGTGCAAAGAACACTGTCCTTACTGAGGAACAAGCCTTCCAACAAGTTTCCAACACTGCTGGGCACCAACATTAAACACATACTTTGGTATCACCAGATAAAAATAGTAAAGAGGTCAGATAACTATGCAGTTCCTATGAGAAGTCATCAGTCTGAAACCTGGTCCTCAGTCTACTCATCCTTTAATAACAGACACCTAATACTTTTATAAAAGAAATATTTTTGGTCAGTTTTAGAGACTTAATTATGTCTCCTCAACCAGTAGCAAGGGTACACAATCCTGCTCAGGCATATTTATTGCTAGTCATGCAGTTGCACAAAGCTTCCTTGGCTAAGCAAAGCATAAATAGTATAAACAGTAGCTAAGCACTTAATGCTGCAGAGTAACAGCCACTTAAGTTGCACTAACTACTCCTCAGGTTTTTTACTGTACCTTTTTCTATTGAAAACACTGCCTCAGAAAGCTCCCATGGCTCAAACTGATAGAGGCTCTCATGTGGGACCCCACCTGTATTCAGCTTTGGAGACTCCAGCACAGGAAAGACATGGGCCTGTTGGAGATCCAAAGGAGAACCATGAAGATGATAAGAGGGATAGAACATCTCTCCCAAGAGGAAAGGTTGAGAGAACTGAGGTCGTTTAGCCTGGAGAAGAGAAGGCTCTGGGGAGAGCTGATTGCAGCCTTTCAGTACTTAAAAGAGGCCTGTAAGAAAGATGGGGACAGACTTTCTAGCAGGGCGTCTTGCTATACGACAAGGGGCAATGGTTTTAAATCAAAAGGGGGTCAACTTACTTAAGATAAAAGGAATAAGTCTTTTACAATGAAGGTGGTGAAACACTGGAACAGGTTGCCCAGAGAGGTGGTAGATGCCCCATCCCTGGAAACATTCAAACTCAGGGTTCTGAGCAGCCTGATCTAGTTGAAGAGGTTTCTGCTCATTGACAGGGGTTTTGAGTAAATGACCCTTAAAGGTCCCTTCCAATTCAAACCATTTTATGATTCTATATCCATGTACATATTATTCTATGCTTGCTCTACTCTTACAGTTTGAGAGTGGACATCAGGCTCAACAGAATGCTGGCCAGCCAAAGTTCAGCTGGCTGTAGCTGAACATGCAGACACTAATGAAGCAGTTACATTTTCAGGACATTACTTTGCCACAGGAAAAAGGAAACAGCTACCAGTAAGACTCTCTCTCACCAGCTGGAATCAAAGCTAAGAGATGCCTATGACACTAAAAGCAAGAGCTCAGTTACTAGTAGGAAAGGAGAGATTTATATACGCCCAACACCAATGCTCACACATCATTGCAGACATGCACTAGGTACTGGGGGAACAGATTAAAAAGAGAAAGATAGAATAAGACTGTAGAAACACACTTCCATTTTGCATAAAGCTTACATTTAGTTATTCACCATTAAATCCAGGGGTAGCATTATGCTCTAGCATCCAGAAAGAGAAATATCGAAAGGTAACATTTAAATACTGTCTGTTCTCCAAAGATTTCAACAATCTTTGTGTTAGCAGTGACCTGTGCTAGGGTTTTTTTGTTGGCTTTGGTTTGTTTTAAGGAAGGTAGCACAGCTCTTTTCTTTAATCTTTTCTTCTTAATATTCAGGAACATGTTAGATTCATTAGCATATTATGCAAAATGTCTCTATCTACTTCAGGAAAAACAAGACACAGAACAGCCTTCAGAACTAGATTTTAACCCCCTACAGTTTCGATACCCCTCTTGAAGTTTATTGTACATAGATAAAGCCTGAACATTTTTAATAGATGAAAACCTTAGTGGAATAACTGAAATGGCTTAGAAATCTGCCCTAAATTTGTGTGAACTATAAAAAGATTGTATTGCATGCCTCTGTTGGACATACTGTTCCACATGTGTCAAGGAAAAAAATGTCACCTTTTTCTTGAGACACAATGTGAATAACTATTGGCTATTTAATAAGTCAAAGGTTTAGCCACAATAGTCCCACTGGCTAACATAGCCAGCAGTGGTTATCAACCCTTAAATGACATACAAGGTTGCCATAGGGCTGAACTAATAATAAAAGTCCATACCATAACACAAAACTTCAATGGACCGGCCAGTGCAATTTCTGTTGGATTTTTTTTTTAAATATGGATAGGAGTCAAGAACCCATAAAAATGCAGAACCAACTTCACCACAGAATAAGTGAAACCAGATCTATAATCTTTTTGTATCTATTCTGCAGTACCAGGCACCTGTAGCTTCAGAAAAAACATCTTCTGTTCAGTGTTTAGAACACTGGATAGTTAAATAGATGAAATCAAGTGAGATAGAGAAGAGTGAGACAGTAATTAATTGTAGGAACCTAAACTGTATAAAAATATTCCCCAAATCAATTCTTGTCTCAAAAAGACCAATGGCAGCACAAATGGAAATACAGGCTTAGCAAGATTGATTTTTCATAATGTACTCAGAGTTAACTTCCCTGTTTTCATTTTATTACTTTATGAAACAGACTTTCCATTAAATTAACCTTCATCTGAGAAATATTAATACCAATATCTATAATGTACACTTGAATTAAAACCAGCGCCTACTTTTCCTTTTATCTTAGTTTGACATAAGCAATATACCCTACTGGAATGCACATTCAGCTCTATTTTAGAATGTAAACAAAGTCTATTTGTCTAAGCAAAAATTTGGTCTGTAACTTTGCCATTAGTATCATCCCCTGAAGATATACCATAGTTTTGCTACATTTTGAGAACCATTAAAGCAGTATATATAATAAATGTAAGTACAAATATAAGATGCATGTGCTTTTAAAAAGGCAGATATTTCCAAAACATTGTGGAAGGATTTAAGAGCACTCTTTATTGTAACAAAAAAATGAAGAGTCAAAATAAAGTCTGACTGAATTATGTTGTACCATTCCTTCTTCTGTGTTTTGAAAGGAGAACAGACTGAAACTGAAGAATGGATTGTATGAAAAAGAACGAGGAAACAAGATTCTCAGCATATGAATTTGTAATGCCAGAAATCCTAGCTACAGCAAGTTGTAAAAAAAAAAAAAAATGCATCATAGATATGACCTTTCTCATGATCCATCAGCTTAGGGTAGGGGGCTAATCACACCATGGGAGTTTCTGGAAGATTCAGACAAAAGAAACATGTGAAATACTAAAGACATAGCATTCCTAAAATCTGTCTAAAAAACCCACACACACTGATTGCATATGTATGTTGGGAGTTCAAACAGCTTTTCAAAATGAAAACAACAGATGTGACTCAGCAAAATGGAATCTTACCTTTCTGCCTCTTCATTTGGGGAATATTGCTGATTGTGGTTGCCTGAACTATTTCCACTACAATTTGATACCTAGTTTTAAAAACAGTAGGGAATAAGGGTGAAGAGGGAGAAAAGAAGAAAAGATGGTATTAATTTTTTACAATGTGTTTCTCATACAGCACTTCAGAATTAATAAAAATCAAAACAGCTCCAATCCAGCTCCTTCTCACCTAGAAATTTCTCAGTATACCTGCAACCCAAGGAGCAATGTGCACATGAAGTAGAGAAAAAACATTATCTTGAAACAAAAAGAAAACATTCAACTAACAATAATATTGCCCTCTTCTCTCTACTGCTGGCACTGAACAGATAGTTCATATTCAGTAAACACAGTGTAAAGTCACACTCTAAACATTAAATGTCAGCTTTCTGTAGGAAATTAGGATGGGATTTCAGTTCAAAAGTAAAGAGCTGTCTGTAAGGTTCTTCCAGCTAATGGACTCAATACATATATGGAGCATATACAGCTTAGGAGAAGCAAAAAATTTCACTAAAACTTGTAAAACATTAAAGTACTATGCTCCAGGAATAATTAAAACATGTTCATTACCTAAAACTATACTACACATAACAGTAGACCATTAATGCAGCTAGCGAACTGAATTTTAAATAAAACTGATTTTTCAACTAACAGGCACTACACACTCAGCAAAGAAAATTACTGTCAGTTAAACCTTTCATAAATGTCAAAGACCTGGTCATAACAAACATTCAAATTCTTCTCAGTGCACTTACTTTGGTAGCTATCAATACTGGTAAGAAAGCAAGTATTATAGCGAATTTGCTAACTATCAAGTTAACTCCTAGATGAAAGCTGAAGCTCCTGGAAAGGCTGCTATTTCTGTGACTACTTTTTCTCCATTTAAGAAAGAACCTCTGATCCTTAAAAAATATTTCCCTTCTTCCACATAAATCTTTATTTCACCAACATCACTCAATTTCCTCCATTTCTCTTGCCTCCTATAACTCTTTTAGGATTTTGATTGTCTCCAGCTCTTTCTACAGACATACAGTTTTATACACACAGTATACACTCACTCACAACTACACTTCCAGAATTAATCTTTTTTCTGCAGCAATCTTTAGTCTACCCAAATCCTTCAATTATCAAGTTGAAACCTGAAAATCTGTTTGCAAAACTTTAATTTTTCTAACCCTATTTCCATTTGCCATTACTCTATCTTGGTTGTTTCCATCCACCACCACAGTTCTTGCCAAGCCCAGAGGAAGAACAACCCCATAGTAAGGGTGGCATTCTGGCATGTAAGAAGTCCCACAGCTATTTCCCTGCTCAGACAGACTTCCCAAATTATTCAGGGTAGCTCACTTGGACTTCTGATGTCTTGGTTATGTGACCTGTAAATGCACTGCAACAACAGGTGTTGTACGGTAACTGTGAATATTACAAATTTATCAAACTAGGTACAGAGAATCAAGTAAATACTGCACATGGAAGGTAGTTTCCACTTTTATCTTGCAACCTTTTTCCTTCTAAATTTACCCTCATTTGTTCACATTCATCATTTTACATGTTTTCAATACCAATACTATAACACAGCATCTCTTTTTTTTTCTGTTCCTCATTGTATTATCTCAAGTATGGGAGATGCTCTGAGTTACATCCTCAAAGATACTATTTAGTCTGTTCCTCCTAAGTGCTGGGCTCTGGTTGTAAATACTCAATGAGATTGCTGTACAACACTGCACCACAGAAACACTAGCCTAGATACACTGCCAGACCTTGACCCTTTCTCCTTTAAAGTCTATTCCAAATATTCTAGCTGCTAGTGGTGTTGATGACCAAACATCTACGAAATTTTTAAATGTGATGTGTTAATTTAACTTTGAAGAAGTGACTGCACTTGATAAATTGGACCATTCATGGCCTCGCATCCACATTACTTCTACCTTCCCACTTTTACCTCTTACCTATTTATCATATTCATGCCCTTCCCTCATTTCTTAAGTGAAAGATGATATTAATAATAAGCCATTAATAATGGTCTTTCTTACAATGAATTCTTACCATGAATACCTTTTGCTCCTGTAATAATAAATAACAAAATAAATAGAATGGTGATCTTGAAAGCAGAAGAAAAACTATCCACCAGTTTATTTCCTTATCACTATTTGCTCTCAACTATGTTTTTAATTCAATGTGTCTTTTATCTTTAGTCTTTTTCTGACAGACAAAGTAAATTTTTTTCACAGCTGATGTGGAAGAATTCATCTTTTCTTCCTTATTTGTAGCAGACTTCCAATTAATCCATGCTAACTTCAATCTAAGGGGAAATGAAGGTGAAATTTCACTGTTTAACTTTTTCTTCTTCAAAGACATAGCGATAACACACTTTGTGAAAACTTGATAACACAGGAATAAAAGTCTGCCTCCCTTCATGACAAGCAATAAAGAAATGAAACATTATGAAGAGTGGGTTTGAAGGACATTCATAGATAACCACACAGTGATTCCTTCTGTGAAAGCTTCACTGGTTCGTTTGTTTTTTTCCCCCCAAACAAATTCAAGCTTTCAGAAGACAAAGTTATGACAGAAAAAAAAAGAAGGACAAAACAGCTCCTCAGAAATCAGTAAATTAATTTTTATGAAAGGGATGTTCCAACAAAAACAACAGAGATAAGTTCTGCTAAGCAATAAAGTGACCGAACATTAGAGGCCCACCACAGATACTAACAAACTACAAATTCAAAAGTATCTCCAAAATTAAAAGTCGTTCCTGCACCATTTAAATAAGTTCTAAAATAAAAGTCATAAAAGAAATGCAGAAAATCAATACAATATTTCTTCTTAAAGTAATGCTTCCAAGCTAGGAGAGAAACAAGATTTAGAAAATCCTCGTACCATTATTATCCTTTCAGGGAGAGCTATTTGCATGGCAGAGAGCTTTACACTTGCTTACAAGGAGATCTACACAGCCTCTCTCTCTTTTCTGATTTTCTGGCTAAGAACAACACACACCCTTCACCCAGGGGCTTCCACTGATCCAGCCAGGGATTTTCCCTGCTTTCCCCACCACAAATACCTGGTTTTAATCACAAGAAAGCCTAGCAAAACTTTGTTAATGAAATCAGTCTGGAAAGATGCCTTATGGCACTTCTCTTGAGTTCTCTCACGTGCATACATCAAGGAGCACCCAGGACTCCATGCCTTCTCGACAGTGGTCAGTCAAGTCTCAGGAAATGTTTATCAGTGTCTCATGGCCTTTTGAATTGAGCAAGGTATTTTATGTTTATTTTATTAAATAGATAGTAATCAATCTGCAAAGTTAAGTATGGCAAGAAAGTTTCATACAAAAATAATGGGCTTCCTAGCAGCTGTAGTGCCTTGGGATAAATTTCCCTCAAAGCTAAATCTACACAGAAAATTGCTACTACTTATCTCTGTTCTTTACCAAAATGTTAGGTGACAGCATGAGCAGTAACAGGAGGAGGCTTACAGTTCACAAATGCCATGCATGGCTTAAAATAGGCACTGAAAAATTACTGCCAAATAAAAGCAAGGAAAGGAATTCTTGATGAACAGATTATTACCCAGAATAGCATCTAACTGGGAAACCTATTTATGTACACAATGCCAGTAATTTATTTGTTGTAAGAAGAAAACTGGAAGCATTTTCCCCATTCCCACCACTCCAACAGACGCTTCCTGTGCTTCTCAGTGATAATTGCACAGCAGCTTATTTATTTCTTCCTCTAACTCCTTCTTGATAGATTTTCCCTGTGGTTCATGAAGAATTACAACTAATTTTTTTTTTTTTAATCCGTACACCATATAGGGACCACTGTTTGGTTTTCTTGATGCAAATCTCTAAAGTGTCACTGGTTAATCATGAAATCTTTGCTAAATATACAACACAAATTTGAGATGACTACAGGTTGGCCCATCTCTCTCTGAGTGCTCCCACAGTGCTGGAGCCCAAATAGAACATGAATACTTTCTCCCAAAGTGAAATGCTCTTTAACCACCATCTCAGAGACTGGCTTTATACAAAACGAGGAGGGAAGAACAATGCCTCCAAAATCAAATACTATTTCTCTTCAAAAAGACGATATATTTTCTCAGACATTGTCTATTAAAATACTGATCAGGCTCAGACTGATCAACATTTTGTAGAGTGTAGAGGAACACGTTTCAAAAATGATGATAGTTGGACTCCATAGGCTAGAAAGTTAAAATGTAAGTGCAGCCAAAACCACACTATTTCATAAAGCAAACCTGCTCTCTGGTATTGCAGAACACAATTTCAAGTGACCTATCAGCTAAAAAGAGAACACATTGAGCATTAATGTGCTTGAACAACAACAACAGAAGAGTTGGGTTTCTTTTGAAGCAAGCAGATCCATTAGTGTGATTATGCTAATAAATATGTCAATTAGGTTTTAGGAAGAGTCTAATAGAGACTAATTTCTGCTCTCAGGAAAGACACACTGTCCCAGAGTAAAGAGCAAATTTTACAGCAGATGAACAATAAGTAGCCAAGCAACAGAATCATTTCACCATCACCTAAATGTATTTTCCTATCTCAGAAATGCAAGTGGTTTCAGAATCAAAGACAAGAACAAGAGAAAGTACAATGTTTTTATGCAGTCCACATGCTTCATCTTGGTTAGCCATTTCTTGGCCTGATCAAGCCAACTCTAATGGAAGTCCAGAGTCACAACAGATGACACAGAATGCACCAAACAATGCTGATATGCCCATGTATTTCAGCTGTTGCTGCAGCCATTTAAGAAGACAAAGCTGACCTGCAGCAGCAACAGAAGGGAGTTGGGAAGAAATGCCAGTTCTGGCTGGTGGTAAGAGATTAGGACAAACACTCTGGAAATGGCTTCAGCAGCCCTCCAAAGCTTTGCTCTGCTCAACAAAACCAACTCAAGGACATCTAGAGAGGTTCTAAAACAGTAGTATCTCCATTCCCTGCTTCCCAGTCATTTGTTCCTTATCCTTTCATATATCTCAGAAATCAGCTCAGCTATAAAGATAAGGCAAGCATAAAACACTGGTTCTTGGGCAAGCAGGTTTGACGTACAAGTAATATCTCATGTTAAGACTAAAGATATAAGTAGAAAGAGATGAGATGGGGGTTGGAATGTGTATGAAAGTTACCAGGTGCTATTTGCATTAGAAAACAGGAAGATCAAACAAACTCATGATATGTAGGAGCTCAGTGGTGGTTTTTTGGATCTTTAAGGAATTCTTCAGAGTTCATTAACATGTTTGAGAAGGACGCAAGTGGCAAACACCTCCCTGCAATAGTCCAAGAATACATCTTATCCAGTGGCAAAATGTGCTGGAACTCAAACCCTTCTTTCCATGTTATAGAATCATAGCAAGTTGTTCTGAATGCTCAGTGTCCCTAGGGTCACAACAGTTCACAGTCACCAGACCACTGCAGTCAGTCATAATTCATAAAGATAATGAGGAGATAACCACACATGCTAGTGGAAATTCAACATATTGTTTCATCTAACTCTGCAGAAGCAAGCTGTAAAGAAGAGTCCAGTGTCCCTTTCCTACTTTTCAAGCATTTATACCTTTCAAAAGTACAGCCATCTCCAGTATACTACTAAGCAGCATTTTTATGCATTTTCTGCCACTGAGCTAAAACGCTGACTATATGAGAGATCTAACAAATGTTGTGGCTTATCATCCTTACTCTCTGCTTCACCAAACAAAAAGAAATCTAAAATTAAAAAGAAAAATCACAATTCATTCAAAACTCAGTAATTGGCTGGAAAAGAAGCATGTTTAGTTTTGAATGAGCTACAGTGAAACATTAAATACCTCAGTTGTTTCAGGAACTCAACATCGGAGCTGCTGTTGATGAGCTTGATGAACTCCTCATAAGAAGGAGCATATGTGTAGTCTTTCTTCTGATGTTCATTCATCTGTTCTCTGTACTCCAGCTGGCTGAGTAGCATTCGGTTAATATAATCTGGATCACTCAGCAATTCCACCACTGGTTTCAGTACTGAAGAAGAAAAATATTTTAAAACGAAATCCTTATGCTGAAGAATAACTGCTGTCTTTCAAAAGAAAATTGTAGATAAAAGGCAAAAATTTTTATGCAAGCTGATAAAAATCCAAAAATACAAAACTGGTCTTCTGGAACACATAGTGTAATTGAGATTCCATGTACCTTCCCGATAAAATTGTTTGTTCTATTGAGCAAATTGATGCACATTGACAAAGCTGAGCTCTATTTAGAAAATTCCAAGTGCTTTTGTTCTTTCTGCTGTGTGCTTTGAAGGTTATGACATTATAGCCACTATAAATGAAAATTTCAAAGTAAACAGAATCACACAATATACTTGAGACTTTGAAATTTCTGAATTTGACTTCAGTGACATAAAACATGAATAGTGTATTTATAATCACAATAAAGTGTATCTGATAAAATAAAGAGCAAAACAGAAATCCCTCAATTAAAAAAACCACACTAGATAAATCAAAGTCTAAAATAATGAACTAAACCTAATACCATGATTCAGTTATAAACACATCCTAAAGTCTATGGATTCTATGTATCTGAATAGAAAAGGGCAGAATTATTCATATAAGCACTAAAAATAATGCCAAGGAAAACTGCAAAAGTGTTCCTCTATGAAAAAAATAGAAAATGGGAAAAGACAAATTGTGTTTTATCCTAAAATGTGCTAAACAGCCTGGCATCAAGTCAGGAGAGTTAAGTAAGTACATGCTTGATTTTGAGAATTTAAAGTGTCTTACTGGTTATCAAAGTAATTTAATTTCAGAACATAAAAGTAGAGCATAAAGATATATATAATGAAGTTTGTAACTGCTAATATTGTATAGGTGCAAATGGTTAATCATCTCCGATCTTAGATCTACCTTTTGTTGCAAGTATTTCTGCAAGGACTATGCGCAAGCTGACAGATTGGACATCCTTTGAGGGTAGGAGACAATACACCAGGACTTGAGAACATTTTTGCAGAAATCTTACTTCTTCATCAGAGCTCCTCAAGCATGAGTGCAGCAAAAAAGGTCTTGGTGGATCTTCCTGCCTAAATGGAAAAAAATAAAAAAAATAATAAAAAAAAAAGATAAAGGAATCATGATCAGTCACTAACTGATAAAATGCTGCAGCATGAAGCACTGGGTGGGTGCTGTGCACCACTGAACACACACAGCAACATGCTGCTGGGTGAGCAAGCCCATGATAGCACAGTGTGTTGTTTGCAGATTTCTCATAAACAGGTTTTCAGATGACAGCTCTGAAAGAAACAAGGAGCAAACCTTCTGTGCCCAATACTGTTTCACAGGTGCCAATGTTTTTCTGGACTTCTCAGAACACGTTCGACAGAACGCTGCACCTTTTCTTTAATATAGAAAGAGCTGTAGAAGCAGAGACAAGGTACCCTAGCAGTTATTTCATGGCCACATGCCTGATGTGCTCCAGTCCATTTTAACAGCAAGGTGACCAAGCCAGTGGTTACAGCGAGACAGACACAGTGTCACCTGAGAGATGCCCTGGTAATTTACAAAGGCAGCCAGAACTGGTCTTCAGTAGAAGGCTCTAAGTTGCTACAAGGGCTTGGATCTGTCACGTCTCATACCAGTGCCTCCTCCCATTTTTCATAACATCTGCTTTCTTCCCAGATCTGGAGGCTGCTGTCCTGGTTAGTCAACTGACTCTTACTCACAGAGCTGCTCCAAGCCCATCGCCTCTGTATGTGAAAAAGTGACCAAGAACTGTATACAGTACAACAAAAAGTTTTCAGTTAGACACTGCTGTATGGCCACTAGTAACAGACAGCATTGTTTAACAACTGATTTTTGCCTGTCAGTCTGGGAGGATGAAAATATGTTGGAATAGTAACAATAATTGTAATTTTTTTCTAATAATACAAGTAATTTGCCTTAAGGTGACGAAAATAAGTTTTATAACTAATTTGCAGTACAACATGAATATAAAGATGACATCTGGGTTTGATTTGACTGAAGCCTCTTATTCAATTACAAATCAAATGTTTTGTTTGCAAAGGTGGATCATGGAGGGGGTTTCAATTGTTATAATTAAGACAAATTTTGAAACAAGTCCCTTAGAACAGCTTGGATGTAAATACTCTGTTCTGAGGAGCAGTGGTTTATGAAGATGATGTGTAATCTCCATTATCAACCAGCCCAGGTGGTACAGCTGACTGAGCTCAGAAAGATGTTTACCTTGTTCTGGTAGGATCTTTTCTCTGTGGCAGCTAAATATGTAGTTATTTTCCTCAGTGCATTTCCATTTCTCTTGCATATTCCATACATATCCTAAAGCCTCCCCTACACCACATCAAACATTCCCCATCATGTTCTCCCCTAAAGGCATTCATTACTTATGCAAAACCAGACATGCCCCAGGCAGATCACTGACAAAGTCTGGGTCATTTACCTACAGCCACCTCTTACTGTGGAAATAAAGTCTTTGTTTTCCAGACAGGTTGTCGCACCCAAAGTCAGCCACCTAGCATACGCAGTCAGCCAGAAGCATACGAAAAATGCTGGCAAACAGGATGACTTACAGGAAACATAGAATAGTTAAGGTTTAAAAAGACCTTTTGGATTGACAAGTCCAGCCATTAACCCAGGACCATCAAGTCCACCACTAAAGCATGTCCTTAAGTGCCACATCTACATGGATTTTTAACACTTTCAGGGACAGTGATTCCACCACTTCCCTGGGCAGCCTGTTCCAATGCTTGACCATCCTTTCAGTGAGAAAGGTTTTCCTAACAATCTAAACCTTCCCTGGAACAACTTGAGGCCATTTCCTCTTGTCCTGTCACTTGTTACCTGGAACAAGAGACCAATCCCCATCTGGCTACAACCTCCTTTCAGGTAGTTGTAGAGAGCGATAAGGTCTCCCCTGAGACTCCTCCAGGCTAAACAACCACAGCTTCCTCAGCCATTCCTCATAAGACCTGTCCTTCCCCAGCTCCGTTGCCCTTCTCTGGACACGCTCCAGCACCTCAACATCTTTCTTGCAGTGAGGGGCCCAAAACTAAACACACAGGATTCCAGCTGCGGCTCACCAGTGCCGAGGACAGGGACTATCACTTCAGCTGGTTCCTGTGTATTAGCAGCAATACACAGTTAGAACTAAAAGCACGTGCAGAGCATGAAACAGAGCCATAATGCACATAAAATTTCACTGAACTGAGATTAGTCTTCTTTGTCTTCAGTATCTCTCTACAAGTCTCCTGAGGAATGCCAGTCTGTTTGGGACTGCAAACACACTGAAGCATTAACTGCATTTATAATATCAGCCGTGCAAGATAAGTCTGTCTCCCTGCTGTACAGATTTATTCCCAGTCAAGAGCCAACACATACAGCTTCTCCTAGTCGGACCTATGCCAGGACTTTTCTGACACACAGTCAACAGAACACAAATGGAAAACAGAACAGAATAAACAAGTACATAAACAAATATTTGATTCTTGCCTTTCTAATTTGTCTAATGTGTTCTTGCCTACAGGAATGCAAGGGAGGGACAGAGTTGCATAGTCTTCAGTTTACAGGCCATTTAAGAAAATTTCAATATTTTCCTGGATTTATCTCCATTACCTAAGAAGACAGGAATCTCTAGAAGATGAATTCTTTCAACGGTTTTCCTAGACAAACTGTATCTAAATGTGATCTAAAAAGCAAGAGGAAAGATTTTTATGAAAAAATAGAAAAACAAAATCTTCAGGCAATTAAACTCTAAACAAGCCTTGCATACCAGTGCTAAATGGTTGTGTCAACAAATCCTGAAGTTTTCACTGCTTCTGGGCAAGAGAAATAAAAGGAAGACTGAAAGCAGGAGAGGAAGCACGAGGGGAGGCTTAAAAGCTACAGCACAAATCAATATGCCAGTAATAAAACAGACAAGACAAGACATACAGCTTATATCCTCCTTTGCATGTATACAGGAAGCATTACACTTCTATCTGTCTCAATATTACCATTGATCAGCTTGCAGGGAAATACTGTGTGTCAACAAAAGGTCTGCCCAGTAAACAGCAACTCTTTTAATTCTGGCTTCCCCTTTAGTGATACACAGAAAAAAGGGAGAAGTGAGCAATCACAGAACTATTAACATCACTGCTCAGTTACCAAACCATGTCTGTTTACTATCTTGGAGCAGGAGCTAAGATGTCCTGATCAGGCATATTATTAAGGCTTGATATAAAACCCAGATCTTCAACTCTGTGGGAATGTGGCATTGTTCATTTTGCAGATACCAACAGGAAAAGTAGAAACTTAAGTGCAGCCCGCATGCACGTACCCAAAGCAGGCTCTCTCCAGTGTCAATAAAGACATTAAGCACTATTAAATAACCTAAATAGTAACAGAGACATTATTTCTCTTCCCATCTAATTTTGAGCATGTGTTATTAGGACTGTGTGGTTGGATTTTCCAAACAAAAGGTCACTTAGTAATCATAGAAAACTCTGAACCAAAATTGTGTGCAGACATTTTTAGAGAAAGCTTTGAAAGCCCAGCCAATTATCCATAAATTCTGAGCACAACCGTGTGCAGTGAACTAATATAAATGTGGCACTCCAGCAAACAGTTCCAAAACATGCATGATACAAGCTTTGTAAACCAGGCTCATCTAATCTGCTTTAGGCAATACACAAATAATGGCAAGTGGCAACTTAATTCATTTGTGTCTTCTTGAACAATCAAGACTGAAGTAATGGTGACATTTATTGGTCTATCAAGACATAGGTGACTTCAGTGATTTAAAACAGTAGACAGAACTCTACACATTATGCTTACAGGTCATATCCATCTTCACTCCCCCATGAGCTACAAAGCCAGCCTTAACGTTGCCCAAGTTTCCTTTCTGTAATTTTCATTTTATGAAAAGCCTGCTCTGAATTTTTAAGACTATCCAATACTTTTTCATAGTGTCAGAAAGCAAAGGGATTTCCTTCAGCTGCCCCTCAAAGCACTGGAAGGTAGAGCAGTAGAATATGAATATAGAACCATAGATAGGGCCTGCCAAAGTGAATTCCTTTGTACTAGGTCTGTTCTAAGCTGTACTTTTCTTTGGGAACAAAATGATACCTACTGGAACTATCCTTGCTCTGAGACTGCTTTGTGCAATTACTGACTGTGTATCCCACTGAATGTCATCAATATTAGAACTTTACCCCTTACTGCTGCAAACCTGCAAGTTCATCCAGCATTTTATAAAGGAAAGAAGAACTGCAGATTTGCTGTGGTATTGCTGAAGACACTACAAGTGTTATAGAAATACCATAATTTCCTTTTCTGTACCATAATTAAACAATTCTGCGCTAATATCAGCACCTCCTTAACAACATTCTTTCATTTCTCAGGAATGCAGAACCCACAGCTGTTCCATAATACTGAACTATCACCTGGGCTTCCAGGTTTCCTAATACACTGACCTCATGGAAATCTCTTTTTTTTTTTTTTCCTAGGATCTACTCTCGATATCCACATTTTTGACCAGGACCATCTGGTAACTCTCTCTACTGTAAAGACTCACTGCAGTCAGGAGTATTAAAAGACTCCTGGTATTTGTGGTTGGGCATATGCTCCTGATGCAAGGCATCTTTGAAGAACATGATATGTCAGTCTGCTTTGAAATTAGGAACAAAGCAACTAAATAAATTATGCACACACCCCTCTTCCCCTGAACAAAAAAAAAAAAATACACAACAAAAAACTCCAGAGCATCTTAAAAATCATTAACAACTCCTCTACAGGAAATTACTTCAGGGTTCTTTTTTCCATTAAATAAATAGATAGATAGATCACAAAGTGTTCCCTTCAGCCTTGGGATTTCTTTATTTAGTCTTTCAAGAGAGAGTCTTGCAGAGATACATTTAAGTCTTAATCAGTACAATTGTGAGCTGAAGTGCACATGCAACTCGCTCTAAATGACTGGCATCAGTATATTCAACATTCACCACGCACTTCCATTAAACTGATTCTGAGAACTACCAGAACCACAAGCAGGCTGCATCTCTTCACTTCCATCAACCTCAGAGCTCTAAACTTCGTGACAGTGCAGCAAAGTAAAAATTGCTTGATCTATTTGAGCTTTCTAAGAAAGGAAAAAATAAATTTAGACCTTTACAAGCCAGAATAACAAAATACACCTGAAAAAAGTACCTACTGAAAAAAAAAAAAACACCAAAAAAACCCAAACCCACAACTCTGAAAACAAACCACATCAAACCCAGAAAGCACAACAAGGACAAAGCCAAACCCAAAATTTCCACAGCTGCCATTTTATCATGATAAATCACCAAGCTTTATAAATCACTTCAACTAATGCTTATTGTGAATAAAATTATTTATACATGCCACAGTTACCTCTTTCAGGAAAAAGCATTTGATACATCACACTAATAACAGATGCAAAGAGTGTACAAAAGGCTTACAAGCTTTGGAATGGCCACATCAGCACCAGGACATCCTAATGCTTCTTGTGGTGTCTAGGTTATATTCAACCATTAACAGAAACCCCAAACTTCCAACACTGAAGCTTGAGAGCAGTGGTGAGCCTTAGACCTGGTGCTACTCATGAGCTGACTTGAATAATCTGCTCTTGGCTTTTTGTTACTATTTTCTTCTCAGCACCTTCGTACAGCTGCTCCCATTGCAAAAAATATCTACACTTTCATACTAATCCCCTTGATACACCTTTCCAGAGGCTGATTGTGAGAAGCAGTTCTGGATATTCCTGGTTTGTGGGTGGCAAATGGAATTATAAAAGAAAAACAAGACTTGTGGGAGGAGTTTAGTTGCTATCCATGTAACTTGGATGTATCTACAGGATTAACCAAATTAAATCTAAGTGCTTAAACTCCCTTTGCATCAGTCTGCTCTTGATCAGTTTGTGGTGGCAGCACCTTTTATTTTAACTATCTTATCACAACACATACTGAAATCACAAAAAATTGAAGTTATATATCCTGTACATGAGAAGGTATTCACATGGGCTGAGAAAATTATGAACTGAGTTCATAATTCTATGTATTACCCTGTAAGTAATACCTAGAAAACAAAAGGAATATTATCAAAACATGAATGATACAAACTTTAATCCCCAAACTGCTTATCATATTGATCACTCAAACAGTAATTTCCCCACAGCACTCTCCCCACTCATACTTTTCAAGAGTTTTGAGCTCTTAACTATGGGTTCTGAATCAGCCCTAGAAGCAGCCCCCAGGCACTAACATTGCTAAGTTTGGGCACACATATACATAAAAACACTTCAGAGTATCTCCCATCAGAGATTGCGTAGCAGTCAACTATCCAGAAGCAGCCCGCAATACCATGTATTCATATTTCTAGAAACCAATTCTTCCTCTGTCTTTGGGTTCAAAGGTGACCCAACTGTGGGTTAAAGACAGTTTACAACCAAAAAATGTAAGAAAAAAATAGTAGTAATAATAGTAGTAACGACAACAATAAGAATAATAAATCGACATCCCTGTGACCTCTTCTTTGAGGTTTGTTCAAAAAGCACTGCTTGTCAGGGGGTTCAAGAAGAGGCAAGGATTACCACCTTCACAACCCACTTGCCTACTGTACTGGTTTTGGCTGGGGTAATTTTCTTCACAATGGCTAGTATGGGGCTACATTTTAGATTTGTGCTGAAAACCATGATGATAATATACAGATGGTTTTGTTATTGCTAAGCAGTGCTTTGGACAGCATCAAGGCCCTTTTCTGCTTCTTGAATCATCCTGATGCTGGGGGGACACAAAAAGTTGAGAGGAGACACAGCCAGGACAGCTGACCTCAACTGACCAAAGGGATATTCCATACCATGACATCATGCTCAGTATATAACGGTGGGGAAAGAAGAAGGAAGAGGGGGACGTTTGAAGTGATGATGTTTGTCTTTCCAAGTCACCGTTACATGTGATGAAGCCCTGCTCTCCTGGGGATGGTAGAACACCTGCCTGTCCATGGGAAGAGGTATATGAATTCCTTGTTTTGCTCTGGTTGCATGTGTGGCTTTTCCTTTACCTATTGATATGGTTT